ATTTTAAAAGATTTATCTGATCACGATTTGCCAAGAAAATGTTTACATGGTAAAACGCAAAATTCAAATGAAGTATTTCATTCAATTTTATGGACTCGTTGTCCTAAAATCATTTTTGTAAGTAAGAGAACATTTGAAATTTGTTCATTATAATGATGGTGGACATGGGATAAAATCTGTTTTAAGTTACTTTTGGATTGTTATATTCCAAAACTGTACCAAAAGCAAATTGTAAATAAGCATCGTAGATCAGCTTTAATATGCAAAAAGCAAAGAAAAAAACTCATACCTTTTCATAAGGGGTACTTAGATACTGAAAAAAAGATTTATATTGCTCTGGTAGCTTTTAAGGAGTGTTTATTGACATAAATTTTGATTTTTAATTTTTGACTTGATTTTTCTCATTATGAGACTTTTAATTTTTTTTTTTTTAATTTTAAAACATGATATCTCCAGTTTAAATTGAGCAATTAAGCTGAAATTCTGAGGTTATGTTCTTCATATATGTAGAATTTATTTGTCGTAAGAGTTTCTTATTTTAGGACGTCATCCACATTTTTTTTTTGGGGCGCTACAATTTAATTTTATCTGCCTTGATTTTTTCATAAAAATGTATATTCAAGTTTGAAAGTCAATATAATCTGAACTAGGGAGGCAAATTTAAAAATCCTATGACAAATTAATTTTGAACATATGTAGAACTACCATATAAAATTTGGAGTGATGATGTACTGTCACATTTAAGAAATTGTGTTTTGAAGTTTTCGTTTTTTTCACAATTTTTAATAAAATTTCGAGGCAAGTGAGATTTCTAATTTTATGCTTAATTTCATAATTGTAATTAATGATTGCTTAATTTTATTGTGAACATAACTTTGATGGTTGATAAAAGTTTAGTCCACTCCACTTGTCCCCGATAAAAATGACATATTTTTATCAGGGACAAGTAGAGTCCCAGATAAAAATATGTCATTTTTTCGCTTTTCAAGAGACAAAGATAGGTAAGTACTTAACTTTACGAACTCTGTACCTGAGAGTCAACTTGTCTTAACTCCATATATATATATATATATATATATATATATATATATATATATATATATATATATATATATATATATATATATATATATATATATATATATATATATATATATATATATATATATATATATATATATATATTCTATTAAAAATGTTTATGACGTTATTGAGTATCCCCTAATGTATATCTTTAATCTCTCATTAAAAAATGGAGTTTTTCCTGACCGCCTAAAATTAGCACGCGCAGTTCCAGTATTTAAAAGCGGAGATGACTTGACTTTATAAAATTATTTAACGAAATTTTAAGTGGCTTTGACAAAAACAAACACACCCTTGGAGTATTTATCAACATTTCAAAGGCTTTTGATACAGTGAATCACGAAATCCTTTTATACAAACTTCATAATTATGGTATACAAAATAAAAATTTAAAATGGTTCAGTTGCTATCTAAAAAACCGTAAACAAGCCTTATTTTTCAATAAAACATACACTACCCTTGAAATCATCACATGTGGTGTTCTTTAGGGGTCTATTCTAGGACCTCTGCTTTTCCTAATCTATATAAATGACATATTTTTATCTTCCAGTAAATTGGACCTCATTCTTTTTGCAGATAACACTCATGCTTTTTATACCCACTCTAACATTACTACACTTTTTAATACAGTAAATCAAGAACTTGAAGAGTTGAGCGATTGGTTTTGAAGCAAACAAACTTTCTGTCAGCATTGAGATAAGTAATTATATCTTTTTTACAAAACCTTACAATTCAGACAAACTACCATTAAAACTTCCAGATATTCTATTAGACAAAGTTAGACTAAATCGAGCGTTCTCAGTTAAATTTCTCGGGTTATTATTAGATGAACATATTAGCTGGAAAGACCACATTAATATATTAAAAAACAAAATATCTAAAAACATTGGAATTATGCATAAAACCAGATATATTTTAAATAAAGCATGCCTTAAAAGTTTTTATTTTGCATATATACATAGCTATATTAACTACTGCAATATTGCCTGGGCTAGTACCTACCAATCAAAAATAGATTTAATATATAAAAAACAAAAACAAGCGTGTCGTATATTAATAAACGCAAATAAAAATGCCAATTCTAAATATTTAATGAGGGAACTGAGAGTTTTTAATATCTACGAACAAAATATATATTGCATACTTCAGTTCATGTTTCAACTCAAAAATGATCTGGTCCCTGAGGTTTTTCATAACTATTTTCACCTTATTAATCACAAATATCAAACAAAATACTCTATCAAGAACTACTATATTCCGAAAACCTCTTTAAGACAATCTAAATTCTCAATATCCAGCAGAGGACCCCAATTGTGGAACTCATTTCTTACAAACAAAATAAAAACGATAAACTCATTCTAACATTTTAAATGTGTTGTAAAGCAACAGCTACTAGACGTCAACATTAATGAAACAATCTCTTATTTTTAAAATTTTTCCTTTTTCACTTTCAATTTTTTTTTCTTCACTTTTTCTTGAAATTCTATTATAATTACTTGCTTGGTTATTTAATGAAGTTCATTGTAAGAAAAAAAAAATCACATGTATTATAAATATTTTATTATATTTGTATTTGATTTATATTTTATTATATTTTGTCAACGACAAAAATGGGGCAAGATTATAAGACTATTGTCTTTTACTTGCTCCAGTCACATATATCTCGCGGTAAAATGTTGTACAAATTTATATAAATAATGACGAAATATATATATATATATATATATATATATATATATATATATATATATATATATATATATATATATATATATATATATATATATATATATATATATATATATATATATGTATGTATATTTATACACACACACACACATAGATCTGGTTTCGTTACCTGGTTTCTACATATGTAATTGACGCATTTCCACTATTACACAAAGATGGTGCAAATAAGTGCAAAAAAAAAAAGCTTTATCTTTAATCTGTAATCATCAGCAATTTCATAAAAAAAATATTTGAAACTGTATCTAAGTGAGGTCATCAACTAAAAGCGCATTGTTTAAAAAAATTAAATATTTTAAATGCACTTATTTAAAAGGACTACTAATGTATATTTTAAGCACTTTAAAATTATTTTTTCATTACTAAAAGATAGCGGCAAACCTAAAGTTAAAAAATCCATGAAAAAAAGTTTTAACAAACTTTAGCTTTAACACTATAAAACAAAGTAGTACAAATAACTCGCGCAATTATTTTTTATGCGAGTTATTTTTTAAAGAAAAGAAGAGAGCTAGATTATGGGTTTTACAGGGTTGAAGCCCAGTCTTACCCCCCACAAAAAAAACGAAGATAAGATGGACCAGATACTCTTTTATACATTACCATCAAAAAATGTTTTACAACGCCTTTTTTCATTTTCGTCTAATGTCCAGTTTTGAAGCATTTCTACCCCACTGTGCAGCACTTGGTTTGCATTACATACCTTATATTGTTCATAAAAATTTTTTTTGTCTGGTAAACTTCATTTTATTTAATATTTAAAAGATACTGCACCTTTTCTTGGCATATTTTAACTTTACCTAAGAACATATTTTAACTTAACCAGAGAACATATTTTAACTTAATCTGATAACTGTATTATAATAATTTTTTTACAAAAATGCATTTTTAACAAAAGAGAAATTCTAGATTTTAAAAATTTAAGATTTATTAGCTTAATTTTTCTTTAAAAAACATTTTTTTGAACAAAAAATTAACAGTAAACAAGTGCTAAACAAACCTTATTAATTTGGACGCTTTTATTAGGGATTCCACACGCTAAATTAAACCTTTAAGATCGATGATCGGAGCCGGACGAGCCGGAGATCGATGGCTCTCTTGCGCAGAAGTTTTTAAAGTAATAAAGCGCTTTATGTTGAATGAAATTTTCACGCAAACGATCTCCTACTTCAATTAAAAATTATATTTAGCGTGACATACAATATGGGTGACCCCTATATGCGCCCTATAATTCACAATAAAGTTTATCAATCAGAATAATAAACTAATGCAGAAACCATTTAAAACGCATTGCAAATAATAATTAGATATGAAAAACTTTACGTATACCGTATAATACGTACGAAAAACGTACACCGTATAATAGTATATTGATTTTGCAATAAAGTAGTATAATAGTTAGGTATAGCTAAATAATAATTATAATATTATGTCCTTGAAAAATATTTTGAATGAAGTTTTTTAAAAAATCAGGATGTTCAGGAATATGCGATGAATATCGCAAAATTTAGCACTATCGCAATAAAAAAAAAGAAGACAATATCCAAACATATTTCACTTTTATTTTACAAATAAAAGCATACCAAATTCAAAATCATTTTCACAATGATAACTATATTAGCTGCACAAAAACTTAAAAAAGTAAATTAAAGATTTTTTTAAGCCGAGCTCAAAAGACAATCTATTCGAAAAAAAAAAAAAAAAAAAACATAAAAGTATATATATATCCTATCGTTTTAAATTTATCACGTCATGTTTAAGATAAAACTTATCGTCATATTTATATGCAACTGCTGAGTTACATTTTATATGTCCATTGACTGGACTGTCATTTAATAGTCTATATAAAACATGATTAAGCGTTAATTAGAAGAACTTTCTCCTCTAAAAGGTAAAAAGCGAAACGCGTTTTAAACTCTTAAAGTTTAAACGATATTATATATACATGCAATCTGTTTCAGTAAAAAGAAATTAATGACATACTGCTTAACATAAAAAAAATTTGCGCTTTTGTAAAATAACACTTTAAAATAAAAAATGAATCATTATTTAATGAATATAAAGGTGAAAAAAAACAAAAAAAAAACAACATTAAAACAAAAATTACGAGCTTAATCATACTATTATAATTATAACTCTTTATTATAACGAAAAAACAAGCATACACAGCGTACCTCAGGTATTCTTTGTAAATTCATTCCGTTATTTAAACGTCTCTATAATCTTTGCTGCGCAAGCAATTGAATCAAAAACAAACGGGTTACTCCTATAGACTAAAATATGTTTTGAACAAAAAAGCATAAAAAGTATCACAAATATGTTATCAATTTTTTCTTCGCTTATCATTTTTTAATATGCTAAGTAAGCAACCAATATTTAAATAGTTTATTAAATCCTTATAAAAAATCATTAATTTAAACTCCACAACTATCTTACTATACCGTCCATTTTTATATAACAACGTCATATCAAGTTAAAAAACATGGGTTTTATTGAGATCGCGATCAGAAGCTATTTTATTCTTAAAAATAGTTTATTTTAAAAAAGTAAATTATATATATGTATTTTTTTTTTAGTATCTAAAAATACTTTGTTAGTAAAAAAAAAAAAAAAAAAAAAAAATATTGACTTGAATAAAAATATATTTCTGAGAAAAAATATTTTTTATAATTTTGTATTGGGTTGCTTATTACATAACAAGTTGTTGTTTATTAACTTTATTAAAGTTTCCGAAATGAAATTTGCACAGCAATGAATTTATGTAATCTTAATTAAAAATGCCCATATAAATACTTATTTCAAGAAACAGATGAAAGTTTTTGCTTCGCGTTCAATTCAAAAGAACGCTTTTTCTATTTCACTCATATAGAAAAATAATCTCAACCATCAAGAAAGATGAAAAATATGATTAAGTGCCTTATCTGTTGTGATTCACACACACAAAAAAATAAAATAAAGGAGATTGGTACATGTTTAAAACATTCGCTACACCATCAGAATTGTATTTAATTTTTAAATTCTCTATTTTATCATTTCTTTTGTTTTTTCAAGGGTTTTTTATTTAAACTTTTATTATCAAAATTTCTTTTTCGATTTGTGTTAATGCGTTTAGATCTCCACTGTTTATTTGCAGTTCTCTCTTCCCATTTCTTTTGTTTGGGATGTATCGTTTCGGCATGATCATCCAACATGTGCGAAAACTAAACAAATTTTAAAAATAAATAATTATGAAAATATCTTTTTAATTGTAATTAAAATAAAAATATAATAATGCTTGAATTATTGTTATTACCGCATTGCTGTGAAATTTAACGCATGTAATAAAGATTTACATTATGAGTGGCCGGCTGGACCTCCACATATTTTTAAAAATTTATAATCATTGCAACTATATTTCAAACATGACTCCGAAAACACAAACTTGAGGAACAAGGTCACTGCGCAGAGATACAAGAGGAGTGAGGTAAAACAAAGCACGAGGTAGATTTAACCTCTGCACCTTTCTCGCTTACAAAGCAATTGCTCTGACTACAACTTTAACGCGTACAGTTCAAACTGTATTTAGTCTACAAACATTCTATAAATTTTTTTTTGCACAAAGTTGCGAAAAAACAATGAACTGAGAGGCTAGCAATGAAATAAACTAAAATGTTTAAAAAGATGTGTCACTACATAACATCCACATATTTTTAAATCAAACTGAAGTTATCATTATTTTATATTCTTAAGTTAATGTATTTTTTTTATTTATAAAAATAACTAATCGCATTAATTTTAATAACCAATTACACAAACAATTTAAATTACTAATCATTTCACTAAATAAAAGAATTATTATTTATGAAATTAAAATTTTGTTTTAATTTGGATATTATTTACACACACACACACACACACACACACACACACACACACACACACACACACACACACACACACACACACACACACACACACACACACACACACACACACACACACACACACACACACAGATATATATATATATATATATATATATATATATATATATATATATATATATATATATATATATATATATATATATATATATATAAATATATATATATAAAGTAATTATTTTATATATATATAAATATCCTATAGATGTTATACAAAGAAAAAGAAAAAAAAAAACTTTAAGTAAATTTATTAAAAAAAAAAACTAAAATGAATTTAATTATTGTTTTTGACAAAAACTTATGAGTGCACAACATTTATTGATAAACATTATTTCATCACATTAAATAATTATAAAAATTAAAAAAAACAAATAATGATGAAAAACCTCTTCTGCAGAAGCAAACATCTTCTCGATATCACCATCCTCACTAAAATATCAAGTATTACTTTTAACATTTATTAAATTTATTTAAACTATTTAAACATATTAACTATAATTTTTAAAAATCATATCTGTTTTATTTTATTTGAACTTCTTTATGTTCACTGCTTTATTTTAGACAAGTATGTTGGACTATTATAAAATAAATATGTTACCTAGCTTCACCATCAATCGACTCTCCATCAGAATTTAAATTTTTGAATAATGCCTATAATTAAAAAAAAAATTCTTAATATTTTTAAACTTTACGTAAGCCAACTCAAAATTAAAATTGTTTAATAAATTATAAATTTGAATGGCTGTACTGCTCGTCCGCTTCATTTTATTATAAATCAAGGAAATTAAAAAAAAAGTTATTTTTAAATTTGGTTATAGTAATTAAATCATGTAACCAGAGATTTTTAAGAAGTTATATACAGCTATTTGTATATTGTTAACCTATTTACATATTACATGTAAATTAAATTATACCAAGATGAGCTGTATATTAAAATTTAGAATACTACTCAGGTAATGCGCCCAAGTATGTTGATTACTGTCAGTAAATAAAGACCACTGGTGTAGCACCAATACTGTAGCAAATAATGTACAAAATGATATAAAAAATGTAGATTTATGTCAATAAGATTTATATCAAAAATGTAGATTAAAGTCACAAAACTCCTCATTAATATCCTCGTATTAAAAGCATAAATATTCGAAACTTCTTTCATTATAATGCAAAATAATTGCACAAATCGTTTTGAAAATGCAAAAATTATCATACAAATGCATTCACTACACAGAAACTTTTTTCTCTTTCTATTTCTATTATTCTTTCTACTTTTTACAGGTTTGATTTATAGTAAAATATTAGACTCACATCTTCATAATCTTTGTCAGTAAAGTTCTCTTTTTCATTGTTGTCTTCAAAATCTGGTAATTTTAAGTTAAAAAAATCGACAGATAAATATTAAATTAGAAAAACTTGATTAAAAAAAAAAGCAAAATATTCAAGTATGCCTTCATCAGACTCATCTTCGAGATCATTGTAATCAAAATCTTCATCATCTGCAAAGAAATTATTAATAAAAATAAGTTTTACTATATAATAGAAAAGTTCTTTTGTTTTATAAATTAAGCACTTTCACAAGTTACAAGATAATAATGGGTTTAAGTAAGTCTTCCTTTTTATTTTTAAAAAGCTTAATAAACTTTTTAATAATAATGCAGACTTATAAATATAAATTATAACAACATAAAAATTGATCAAAGTAGTAATTATAACAATTTGAATCACAATATCGTAGCAATATAGCTTTAGTAATATTTGCAACTTTAACCTCCTATAAACAATTTTTTTTTTTTATATATATTACAATTTTATAAGATATGCAAAAATATAAATTATAATCTAACCACATAGACCAACAAAATTTGAACTTTATAGTGATTATAGCAAACTTTATTGGACCTGTGATAGTATTTCCTAAGGGAAAAGACCTAAGGAAAAATAGCTCTTCCTTAGGGAGAGCTTTTTATAAAAATTTCTAAACTTTTTTTGTTATATTAAACAAGATCAAAATTAATCGATGAATTTCATAAAAAAATAACTCTTATTTAAAAGTTATGACCGTTCAAAGTTATTTTAAGGGGTGATTTCAAACTTCGCATGGTTTTAATCTTAAATAAAGAGATTTTTTGAATAAAAACTTTACTTACTTTATCTAATTTATTATAAAAATAAAAATAAATTTTTTTTTCGGATCTTAGAAGACAAAATTTAGATGGGTTAGTTAGCTCTAACTACCTAAACTTTTTACAAGTCATCCTAATTTGACACCAATATTAACATACTAGAAATTTGAGTTACATGCCTCTTAGTAACTATTTTAACAAAATTTATGAGCACTCACCTAAAATGATTTCTTTCAAAGCTTCCGATAAAAAAGTTTTTTACATTTTTGAAATAAGGAAGTGTTTTCTGATGATTAACAAAAAATAAATTTGGGGTATGTGTTGCAAGGCCTTAAAACATGTTTCTATGTACTAACGGACAAATAAAATAGAATTAATAAAAAACTGTTTTTGTTGGTATCTGTTTTGTTTTGTTTCTTTTTGTCAATGGTAACAGAAGTTCCATAGTGTTTATGCGAAGCATAAAAGTTTAAAGCCATAATCATAAGGAAGTTTTTATAAAGAAAAACATTTAATAAATTTCACTTGATCTTTAACCAAACTAATGGAAATGTTTTTCATTTATTCTTAAAATACACCAAACTTATTTTATTGAAAATTTTTCCATGTGCATCTTTAATGTTAAACCTTTTGTTAGATAAAAATTGTTAGTTAATAAACAAAACAAACAAAAGGTTAAGCATTACAAATGATCATTAATGTTTAATCTATTATTTGACAAAGTTCAAACTAAAACTTATTTTAATTATTACTAACAATTTTTGTGTACAATGCTTAATATTAACAATGTTTTTTCATTAAAAAAAGTTTGTTTTTCTAATCAAAAGTTTTTTTTCATCAAATAATTTAAAAAAAAATTGGGATAACTTGATATTCGTGCATTTTAATCAACATATAATAAAGCAACAGGTTTTTAATTAGGTGCAATAAAGCATTGATAAAGAAATGCTGTTTTTCAAGGATGACAAACTGTGATAAAAAATGCAAGTAAAATTACCTTTTACTTGCATTTTTTTAGCACGCCAACATAATAGTGTTACTTTTTAATAAGTTTCCATTAAAAATACAAACAAAATGTCTGCAGAAACAGTAATAAAGAATGTATTTCCAGTTAGGATTGCAGCACAACAATTTAATATCTAGCAGAGCAAAATTGTGAGAAACACTTTTTTCAAAAGAATAGTTTTGCACTGTTTGGAAAGTTATCTCTAAAAACATTTTTTTTAGAAATTTGAGTACCTTAAGTTGCCTTGTCATCCCAAGAGTGCCTTGTCATCCTATCTTGTCATCCCAAGCAATCTGCATTATAGACCATCAAATCTGCAGCTTCAAATGCATGCTTTTGAGTATGAAAAATTTAATGACAGAGTTATCCTGCCTTGGGGTTAAAATAGTAAAGGTAGTGAGCAATAGTATTGCTAACCACCTAAGAAACAAGTTTCTTACACTAAAGAAATGCAAACCACAAGGTTGCAAGAGCTACCAATTTCAACTAAAATGTTTATTTTTACAAATTTATTTTCTGGATGGTCTTTCTAATGGGAAAACACCAGCCTTAGCTGATTCTTGGCTCGTTTCAATTGTATTGAAGTGAGCAATTTTAAAAAAAATATAAGGTTCAATTTTGTTTTGTTTCGCACCTTAAAAATGACAATATAATTTTCAGTATGTGATAGATCCTTGTTAGGTATTGTGATAAATGACATTGATACTTTTGATTTTTTAAAAAACTTTTGATACTTTGATATGCAGTTCTAGATTTTAGTATTTTAAGGATTAAAGCTTAAATTGAGGAAAAGTTTCTTTTTGGAAAAATTGTTTTAATACTGACGTTACGTTCATGTTTTCACTTCCAATTGCAATAATTCTGGCTGATCCACAGAACATTTAATGTTGCAAATAAAGCATTTTAAAAACTCCACAAACTTTTTTGCACATTGGCCTTCAATTTTTATGTGTTGCCTTTTTAGTTTTCAGGTTTGAAGCTCACTCTAGGAAAAATCTTTATAGTGGATGAAATTTCCTATTGCATTCAAACAGTTAATAATAGTTGTACTAGTTACTTGTTCACCAGAAGTTATGCTGCCAATCTGTTCTTAAATTTCAGCTATACCTATTTCGTGACATAAAATAGGTATAAGTAGTCAAAATAGTTGTGCTTAACTCTAATGGTAAGATTATTTACACAGGATTTTTTACACAATTAATTGCACAGCAGACCTGCTGAAACATATACAAATCTATCTATTTTAGATTGATATACCTTTTAGAATGCAAGAATCTAAAACAGTAACTGATTATAAATCATACTGGTTACCATCAAATTATCTAACACAGTTAACAATAAAACATGTGAAACTGTTTTTAGATCAAGCATAACTACAAAACAAATTTCAATTAAAAGCCTCAAAGAAGACTCAAAAAAATCAAAGAAGATTATCCAAATAAAAGTAGTTCTTCTGTTATTCACTGTTAGTAAATAACCTATTGAAAAATTAACACGCCACAAACTAAGTGCATTTTTTAATAAACAAAAAAATCAAAATCAAAGACTATACTAAGAAGAACCCCTGAATATTATACAGAATATGCTTATGAATATTATACAGAATATGCTTATGAATATTATGCAGAATATGCTTATGAATATTATACAGAATATGCTTATGAATATTATACAGAATATGCTTATGAATATTATACAGAATATGCTTATGAATATTATACAGAATATGCTTATGAATATTATACAGAATATGCTTATGAATATTATACAGAATATGCTTATGAATATTATACAGAATATGCTTATGAATATTATACAGAATATGCTTATGAATATTATACAGAATATGCTTATGAATATTATACAGAAGATGCTTATATTATACAGAATATGCCTATGAATATATAGATTCTGATCAATTTAAAATTAAGAAGTGATTTAAGTTTAAACTATATGAAGTCACAATTTTATTGCGAAACTATGTATTATATATTTATCAGCTGATCATGTTGTGAAATCATTTATACTAGTTTAACTTAATCAGTTGAGTAGGTAGCAGGTAGAAAGCCACAATTATGATCAAATTCTGTTGACACCAGTTTTGGTTTATGGAATTTGTAAATTAAATTAATTAATATTAATGAACAATTTTATCCAATGCTGTAAAACATTTTTTATAATGCTATTTAGAATTATAAACTTTTGCTGTAAAGAACCAATAACACTTTCATGTAGTGCTAAGCTCAATAACACTAAGCTGATTGTTTCCAAAAAAAGTAGGAATTTCAAGATGTGCGCCAAATTACCCAATAATATTACTAATATTAAAATCCTTATCAGCCATAACCATCTCTTATTCAAATAACTAAAACTTTCAGTAGTTACTTTTTCACTTGATCTACCACCCCATCTATTTACAATAAAGTCTTTTGCACCTTTTGGAAACGTGCCATTTAGATATTAGGCAGTATTTATGTGTTGTTGACCAAATTAAGTTTCTTGTTGTCAGATTATTAGTTCTTTCAATATACGTCTCAAAGTGCTTTTTTAATTCTGACCAAACAAGCTAAATAATAAGTTGTGGTAGTTTGATGAAAGATACATGAATCAAATTTTAAATACATCAATGTAAAAACAACATAGAGGCAGTTGTTCTACAAATACAAAAATTGTGTGTTATATTGCTCTAGATCCCAGAAAAAGTTTTGTTAGACACAAAACTACCTGACAAAAACCATCTGGACTACAAAGAATAGTTGCACTATGCTTAACAAGTTCAACTACAGCACATAAGGCATTATAATCTGGTAGACCAGTACAACTGTTTCTTTGAAGTTTTTTTATAAAAATTGATCAATGCTTTTGTCATATACTTCAAAACCTTTTGAGTTTGAATAAGTAAAAACTCATATTTTGCATTCACCAACCTGACTCATTAAATTTATCGATATTTTCTTCACTTACTTGTGCTTTCTTGCCATTTATTTATTTTATCTTTTTTAACAGTTAAAATTATGACAAAAAAGCAAATATGAATAATATTAAAATTTTGTGAATTAAAAAAAAGAAGAAACAATTCTATAAATGAAAATTTATTTATCAGTTCCCCTAATAAAAAAAAAAAGTATTATTACTTTTTTCCTATTTACTTTTTAAATAACTTGTTGATTATAAATTGCTTCTCAAAAAATGTTTTAACTACCTTAACACTGATTATAATCTACAAGCCCTTTATCAACAACTCACCACAAACTAGCAAAGTTGAAATGTTTGTTTGTTGACAACTGTTTTTTAAATAATTTCTTCTGGTTTAGTGAAGCTAACTATTTATTTCTATGTTCTTCTTTAAAAGAAGTTTCTGTTTCTTAAAAAAAAAAAAAATGCGCTCGGTAAAGAAGTGTGATATAAAGATATCCATAAGTTTTAGCTGTTTTTGAGACATTGTTGAAAATTAAAAAAAAACAGACAACTTTTTCAGACTTTGCTAAACATTTCTTTAAACTTGTGAAAGTCTTGATAAAAACAGTACAAAAATTTTGAAAAAAAAAATTAAATTCTATTCCATGGCTATATGCTATTAAAGACAATTTTATATATTAAAAATAAAAATTTAGCTACAAAATTATTAATTTACCATCACTTTCATCTGAAGATTCTTTGCCTTTGTCTTTCTTTTTACTTTTTGAAATTTCTTTACCCTTTTTTATTTCACTTAAGAAAATGAAAATGAATAAAGTCAATATATAAATTATTATTTATTATTATACTTTTTATCTTAAAATAATGTAAAGAACAAATAACGAAAAGAATAGAAAATATAGTATATAAACTATTTTACTATATTTTTATATACTTATTTTAACATATATATAGATCATCCTAGTCATATTTCAAAAATCCAGAAAATTGTTTGAACAAAATATTTGGAATTTGTTTTCTCTTATTAGCTTTTTAATTTTGCTTTTAGCTAAGTAGTTTTTAATTTTTTTTTGACACTTTTCATAATTTTCTGAGTGATGAGTGAAAAAGCTTAAATTACAAATATATTACAAAAGTATATACCAAAACTTGTATGTATTGAAAATGTTTTGAATATCCAAAAAAACTAAAAGTTGAAAAAAAATCTGGAATTCCGGAAATATCCGCAAAACGATAATCCCTATATATACTAAATTTATCCGAAAATTTAAAATTAAAAAAAAATTTAACTTTTGAACCTTAACCCTTTGAGGTTAACCTGAAATGATTTGATCTGCTGAGATTAAAATGATTTGGTCAATTGTGTTTTTATAATATCTTGTATAATGTGGTAGGGTTTAAAAAACTGTTCTTTTTTTATAAAAAAGTTGACTCCAGCAATTTTGTGGACACTAGGATTGCTACAAAATGTTAAAAAAATTTATCACCCCTAAATTATTTTTCTATAAAAGACGATTTTTTTTTCAACAAAAACCTTTTATGCTTTAATCAAACTTTCTACTTTTATTCATCCCTCGAATAATTATTTTACTTATATAAAGTTAATAGCCAATATATCTACATTTTTTCTTAAATGACTACAAGGCATCATTTAAACATTAAATCTACCATGTTTTGAAGCCATTATAGGTCAAAGTTTTACCACTACTTGACTAGAATTGCCTTTCATTAAAACAAAATGGATTCCATAAGATTTCATTAATGATTTAGGTCTGATAACTAAAGAAACTTGTCTAACATCTTAATTTTTTTTGAACCACTGATCAGCTTACTTTGATGTGTGCTTTGGATCTCCACCCTGTTGAAAGATAAATTACAAGATAAGCCTGCACCTAACCTTTCATTTCATTAAACATTATAAACTTTTTTTGACATTCTGTCAATGAATTCATGTTTGCAAGCAAAGGAACTCCAAACTATCTATTGTTCTATGATAAAAAAAATAAAATATATCACAATATTTTAGCAAAGCCTACATGTTTGACATTAGGCCTCATACATTTAGGACATAAGCATTCATTATTTTTTCTCCAATATATGTGTACAATATATCAGAACTATATAAACGCATTTGTGTTTCATATCTTTTCTTATGATATTATTTACTCAAGAAAAGCTTTTTTTAATTTACATATAAAATCTTTTTTCAAGCTATTGCCAACAGAGGAGTTATATTATGATCTTTTTGTAAATCTTTTGCTAACTTTGATGCAGAGAGTCCTTGTTAAACTTTCTGAATGATTTTTTAATATGAATAGTTGGATTTTTTTTTTTTTTTTTTCGCAAATTTTTTATGGTACAAATATTTTCATATTTTTTAAACTTTCTAAACTATTAGGATTTTGCTTTTACATTTAGCGATTTAAAAGAAACTCCAGGATTAAGTTACTCCATACAGAATAACATAAGTAAGTTATTAAATCTATTAGAATTAAGGCAATTATTTACATTTTGTAATGCGTAACCTTTAAGTTAAAGTTGTAAATTTATAGTTGTTACCTTATGTGAAACCTTACTGGTCACCAGAGTTAAAACTGCTATCTGTGTGACAACTAACAAACTTGGCAAAGTTTGCCAGTTTATTTATTTCCATGATGATTAAATATTAATTTAAAGTAAATTATTCTTATGAAACGCTGCACAAAATTAGACTTATTTATCATCTTGATGTAAAAGAATTCTATGGTTTTTGTACTGAACTTGTCCTGTCAAAAAATGCAAATTTAAACACATACACCAATGATTTTTGATGGATGTAAAATGAAAAATGATTGTCTGTCTTTTCAATTTGTCAAAGTCATCAGCTAAATCGAACATTACTTTTTTATAATATTCCAAAAGCATACTTTTTTAACTTAAAAAATTTCTTTGTTTTAATACTTTTGCTTTTTTCAAGATGATAAATTATTGCAATAATGCAGCCCTCCCCCCCCCCCCCACTGAGCTTGTGACTTCTGAAAAGCCTAAAAGGCTCAACTGCTTGTAAATAAAATCTTCTGTTTTACAAATGTAAAACAAAAGACTTGAACATCTTTTGAGCATCATATACCAATAAAATTGTTCAAGTAAGGTTTTAAATTATTTGTGAAGTTGGGTTCATAAAAACACCTAAGCTAATTTTTTTCAAGAAAAAATAAGTCAGTTTCAAAAATTTGTTTAAATTTGTAGAAACAAATTGATTGCAATGATTTAGATACAAGTGAATCAAACGTGGAATTAAAATACAATTTAAAAAGCATTTTAAAAAGCATGTAAAAAAAAGTGTGTGAGAATCTAAAATTTAATGAAAATAAATGTAATCAAAACTAATTTGATTGATTTCTGGTTTTGACATTGAATATGTATTAGGGCAGATAAAGCTGTGGTAAAGCCAACATAATAGAAGAAAAAACTCTGTTATGAAATTCTAACTGTATATTAGAGTAGAAGAAGCTTTTAGTTACTATAAAAACATCCCATCCTGATCTAGAAACAGATTGAGGCTGCAAACAGCATCAGGTTGTGAAAAATTGCTTCAACTTTTTTATAATACCATATTTAAATAACAAAATGACATTATAAAAATTTGTCTAAACACACAAGTGTGGTACTTACATTAATATCAACACAATCAATTGCTAAATTAGCATCTACTAAGGTTGCTTCTCTTTATCGTGCTTGCCATTTTCTCTCTTGTGATTTCATTCTTTACCTCTACAAATCTCTTATTCGTGCCTGTATGGAATACTGTTGTCACATTTGGGCTGGTTTTTCCTAATGATGCTATTTTTCTTCTAGACAAGGTTTAAAAACGTATTTGTTAAAATCTTGTTTGTTTACTCTAACTGTTCCTGCACGCTCTAAAAACTTTTATTTGTCTAGTTTTTTTACCCGCACCTTAAGCCTTTGGAACTCTCTCCCATCTTCATGTTTTATTTTAAAAAAATTAAAATTGAAGGTTGTATACTTTCAATTTTAAAGTCTTCTGTAAACCGTTTCCTTTCTCTATAACTCTATTCTTTTTTTCTAGTAACTCATAATGGTTGCTTGCAGCCTTGTTGGGAGTGAATCAGATTTTTTTTTTTTTAAAAAAGTGTGGAATTTAACTAAAACGTTTTATATAATTGTTAAGTAAGGCTGTATATAAATAAAATAAAAACGAAAAGATAAAAATAATCAGCAATTAGATTAGTTGATTTTTGCATTGTAATGCCAATATAACTCAACTTATAGACTAAGCCCAATATATAATAACCAAGCCAATACTACATAAAACAAAATTTAGAACTTTCTTCACACCAAAATACTGAGATCATTTGCCTCCTATCTTTAAGACACCTGGTAATTACCAGGGTGTTAAACAGCCCAATAGCACCACCACGTTTACTGCAGAATTACCAATAAAATTCCCAAAAACTCAATGACCTTTTTTTAAAAAGTAATAAGACAATTTTAATAAAAATTCCTAATTTTTTGTAGAACATTATTAATAAATTCCTAACTAACACCTTGATAAAAAAACATTTATGCTTTATCAACATTAAAATAAATCACTCGTACTTGTCAGCATTTTGAATGATGATTATTCTTACCTTGCAAAATCGATATCTTTAAAGTTCACTAAGTCTATAAAATAATAAAAATACAATCTATAAAAAAAAAGAATGAATCAGCAGTTTGCGTTAGAATATTATCAAAAAAACCTTCTGTATCATGCTGGTCGTCATCATCTTTTATATCTCTCTTCTTTTTTATTTCTTTTTGAGTAAAATACCGATAGAAAAATACTTCATCTTTACGAATTTTATCTTCGGAGGATTGTATAAATGTCTTTGAATTAACTGGTTCTTCCTTCAATCTAACTGACGAATCACGAGGCTAAAAAAGATTTTAATAACAAAACATTTGGAAAAAAACATTTTTTTTTAAACAAAGATTTTACCAATCAATAAAATAAAGTTAAAAAGAAACCTGCATAACAGAACTCCCATGTTCAACTTCCTTTTTCTTTGGGTTGCGGTACATAAAACGATCCAAAAATCTAAAAGTTTAAAATAACTTCGAATTATTGCTATGTAACTTATAAATTTAAAAAATGTAATTTATGAAATACAACTGTACTTAACTTTAGAGAGTTTTTGAGTTTTAGAACTGGTTTAGTATCCTTGTTTTTTTTTAACAAAGATTTTATTAAAAATATATTAAGTAAAAAGAAAACAAAAAATCTATTCTATTTGCTAAAAAAAATAAAAAAAAGACCGAACTGTAATATCTCTGCATTTATTTGTAACTCATCCATATAAATATTTTATTAGTTTTTCACTATTGTAAAAAAAAAAAATCACTACTTTAAAAAATTTTGAAAATACGACTTTATCGTAAAAACTGAAAATTTGTTATATATATATATATATATATATATATATATATATATATATATATATATATATATATATATATATATATATATATATATATATATATATTTAAATCTTATTTGAAACTATTTGAAATATGCTGATAATACTTAAATGTTACAACTTTATCTTCTGCAAAATAAATAATAAAATATTATTAGGTCTTATCATTTAGTGAAAAAAGTTTACAAAAATGTAAAAAGGTAAAAACAGAAAATTATATTGAAATGACTAGTACTTTTTTTTTTTTTTAGAAAAAAATCCTAAATGTATGTTTATCTAATTTTCTAAAGCATGCCTATATAAAAACTTTTTTTTTTTTTTTTAATCATACCTATATAAAAACTAGTGCAAATATTTTTTTAAGGAAAATGTTTTTTTAACTATTTCTTGTGATTTACCATTTCAGAGTAAAATCATACAATTAAAAACACCTAATCAGCATAAAATCAAAAACACCTAACCTAATCAGTGTAAAATCTTGCAATGGATCTCCTTTGTAAACTATGCTTTTTTCCTAAGAATTTAAAAATTACAATAACTTTGACAAGAATTTTTTTTAAAAAGTAAAAAGTACTAAGCAAAACAGAATTTGTTTTGTAAAGAATAAAAAACAACTAACATTTAATATAGATGAAGCAAAATGAGAAACAGAAGGATGAAAGTGTGAGAACAGTGGAAGTAGCTCCCATGCGCAACACATTTCAGCATTAGCAAATAATGGATTACGTTGCATCAAATTATAACTTTTACTTCGCTTCTCTTGATTAATAAATGTCCAAGAAGAAGAAACATCTTTTGGTTTGTTTACAAATGAATTTTCATTTTCTTGACTATTAAGTGATTTATTAATATCATCTCCACTATCATCTGTAACAACATTTTTATCATTATCTTCTGCATCATGAAAATGCTCCTCTTCATCTTCTTCCTATAATAAATTTTTTTTTTTTTTTTTGAATGATCAAAATGAGAAAAATTGTTTGGTTCTTCATTTTGATCTCAGATTATTAAGTAATAATCTAAAATGATCTACATAAACTTTGATGTGTGTGTCCTTAAATAAATTAGTTAATGTATGTCACTACTAATATTTTGCTGCTAAGAAAATAAAATAAAAAGTAAAAATAAAAAAAGTAAAATACAACAATATGTCATTATCATGTAATTTTACATTTCATACATATTTGGCTTATCTGCAGCCAACATATTAAAATGGTAACAATAAGGTTATTGAAAAAACAAGTGTTTTTCATAAACAAAATTTATAGTGAGTAATAAGAAAAAATTCCATAAAGTCAGGCCTCGCATAAAGTGATTGCAAATTGCAATATTTAGAAATATTTCCAGCCTTTAAATTTTAAACTTTTTAAAAACTGTAAAACTGTTTTGATCACTAAACTCAATAGATGTAATTCAATAAAAAATCTTATGATATAAAATCTTATTGTAAAGCAATATTATTACTATTATTTTTATTATTATTAAAGATTATGATTTCAAATTTTAATATTATAATTCATTTTATAAAACATCAAATAAAACAAGAAAAATAAAAGCACAATAAAGTATGATGCAATTATTAAAAAACAACCGCTAATCACAACAGTCTAAAGGAATTTAACAGCGATCAAATATTTTAAATAAAAGAAATTGTTAAAAAAGTTATAAAATACTTTTATATCTTGTTATAAATTCAATATTTTCAATGCTTGTAACTCTTTTACAGTTATGTATACAAAACTAAAAGACAGAGAAGTTTAAAAATATATAAAAACTAATTTAAACTTTTGATTTTAAAACAAAACAAAAAACTAAAAGACAGAGGAGTTTAAAAATACATAAAAACTAATTTAAACTTTTCATTTTAAAACAAAACAAAAAAACTCTAATAACTTATTTTAAAATATACCTTTTTTACTATTATATTTATTATCAATTATTCTAAATTAAAACATTTTAAAGAAGTAATTCCTAAAACTTTCCCCCTAAACAAAAATCAATATTAATGCTTCATACAATGCGCAAATAGCTTTAGCATAATTTTTTATTAGTCGATTATTGGATTAATGCCTTCTATGTGCCAAACCCAGTTTTCAATTACTACACCTGGTAATTAAAAATATCTAAGTTTTGACTGTTATTATTTTTGCAGTAGTAAATTTGTTTATTTTTTTCATTAATTTTGGCAATATAATAAATTGACCATTTTATTAAAACAGTGTTCGTGGTTTTTAATAAATTAAGATTTTAATGACCAGAAATATTACCGGATATTGCAATTTGCAATCGCTTAATTTGAACCTTCAAAGAAAAAAATTTAGATTTTTCATATAATATTAAAGAGGAATGCCAGCCTTGTTAAAATCCATTTTTTAAAAACAATGACGTTTTTGCCACCTACCTTTTTTATTCAAAAAATTTATTTATTTATTTCCCTAATGCCAAGAAGGCCACTACAGTCAGTTAGGTTAAACAACAGTCAGGTACCCAGCTAACACAAAACGTTCAAGTACATTCGACGAACATTTGCGATTGTTCAAGCACATTCGCAACGTTTGTTGAACGTTTTGTGTTCGCTGGGTAGGTTAGTTTTTTGTAGATTTTAACTAGTACAATAAAAGCAAGATAACAGACAAGGTAACAGACAAGGTAACAGAAAAGATAACAGACAAGGTAACAGACAAAAAAAAGTTTTACTAACTTTTGAATAAATTAATGAACTTGCTTAACAATTTTTGCTTATTTTTTAAAATTGTTTTTTGTAAACATAACTATTTAAAATTTTTTGAAAAACTTTATTTATAATGTATTAAATTATCAAACTCATTCATTTAAGTTTATTTTAAAATAATTTTTTCTTTTTCTCTATTTTTACATTTCTTCTCAATGAGCAAAAGACACAATATAATTTGACACATCTATAGTTCTCTTACAATAACCAAATTTATAACCACTTTTGATGAAAATCTTTGCAATTCTATATTTACCAAAAAACTTGAAAAACAAAGCAGATGCATGGTGAAACAAGTTGGGCAAGGTAAATAGTTACAAAGATATAAGCTTACAAGGGAAGTACTCTACCACTACACCACTACCACCTGTAGCAATCTGTTTTTTGAATTTATTTTTAGTAAGCTTCAATAAATAAAATAAATAATATTTATAAGATAATTTCAAAACTATGATAACTGCTATAATTTTATCAAAAAATTACCTCTGGTTGAGATATCATACTCTTTATTGCAGGGTTTTCTTTTATTACCTAAATATTATGATTTAACATTACATACATAATATAATAACAGAAAAGAATGATAAAAGGAATAAATTATCCATAAGAAATATAAGAACAATTTCTTATGTAATAAATTTTCCATATTTTTATCAACACACAAAAAAATAACCTCTGAGAGTAAAAATAAAATTCCGCAAGTTAATGATGATTCTTCCTTTGTGCAAACTTGAAGAAGTCTTTTAACAAACGCCTATAAATAATAATAACTAAAGTTCTTCATCATCAAATCAAAAATTCACTTTCATCATCATATTAAAAATGCATTTCTTTTTATTTCAAAAACATCTTCCTTGGATAATTTTAAACAAAATGGAGAACATTGTTGCTGTTCTGAATGACTAGACAAAAATGCTTTGCTATAGTAACATTTTAAAATTGTGCAAAGATTAAAAATTAAAGATAATTTCATAGTTAAAATTAAAGATAACATGGCCTACTTTATTACACTACTATATTGTATATTACATTTTAGAGGCTGATTCTTAGAGGCCTATTTACGCAACAAAATAATGACAGTGCAATATTAAAAAAAATTAAATGTGTGTGTGTGTGTGTGTGTGTGTGTGTGTGTGTGTGTGTGTGTGTATATATATATATATATATATATATTTTTATATATATATATATATATATATATATCAAAAAAAATATTATAGGTAAGTTATTAATGTTAGCAAAGCTGAATATTATGCTTAACAAGTGTGTTACATATAGTTGTAAAACTGAATACAACAGTTATATGGAAGATATAAAAGTTGCTTTTTTTTATTTTCTGTTGAAAAATCAACAGTTGCTAAATTATTGGGTTCGTTTTGTAAACCGTAATGATTGGGTGCCTTCATAAAATTCTGTCTTATGTGAAAAGTATTTTAACAAGGCTCAATTTAATTTTTTATAAAGTCCCGGACAAAATGTCAGATCAAAACTTGCTTGGGTTGGACAGTGTCCAATCAAATTTAAAAAATATAATTTTTACGGTTTTATGGAACAGAGTTATGCAGTCAAAATTTTTGTCATGTTATTCAGTTTATTTAACGTTGGTCTAGTAAAGTTGTATTTTCTTTCCTATTTATTTAGAATAATTCATCGTAGATTTTTGTTTTTTAATAAAATAATTTCAATTTAATATTGTACGTTTTTTTTAGATAGACTTAAAATTTGACGGTGTAACTGACAACGCTTATTATTATTATTTTTGTTTACAATTTGACAATATCTGTTTTGATGCTTTAACAATTTTGAACGCAATTTAAAAAATTGTTAAGTTATTAATAACTTTTATTCATTGATCTTTTTAAAAGTTTTTATTTTACCTGGAGGCTTTAAATAAAATAAAATCAAAAATTTATTACAATGATCATTTAAAATAAACGCTATATGTATAAATTAAATGTTATATTTTAAATTCTTTTTTATTAGGTATGTATTTTTAATGATAAATTTAAATGTTTAAAACTATTTCTCTTTGCTATTCTAAAAATCTTTTAAAATATTATTTTTTTAAGTTACTTTAAATTATTATTTATAATTTTTTAAACTTATTTAGTGAAATTAAATCTTCCCACAATTTTATTGCTTTATTTTTTTTTGTTTTTGTTTCTATTTTTACAAAGAATTGTTTAAAAAAAGGTTTTTTTTAAACTGGACTTTAAATAAATTAAAACATTTTAAAGAAGTAATTCCTAAAACTTTAAATAATGAAATTAAATAATGAAATGATTAAAAATTACGATATTGAAAAAAAACAGTTATTTTATTAAACAATGTTTTGTTTGCAACTTTTTGAAAAAAATTTTTATGAGTCGTCCATAAAGTATGTACGCTTTTTTTTGCCAACCCCCCGCCCTATTTTGTAATACACTTTTTTGAGTACCCTCTACCTCCCTAAAAGTACCAACCCAACATTTTATGATATTTTTTTAAATTAGTGTCTCCATACTTTTATAATTGACCTACTGCCCCCTTATCTCAAAAACGCCATTTTCAGACCCCCTCTTTATCTCTGAGCATACGTAGTTTATGGACGATCCTTTATATAAATTAAAAATATTAAATCTTTTTCTTTTCAATAATAAATTTGTTCATTTATTAAAAATAATTAGAAGTAATTTGTGAAAGCATTTTACGTAACTTTTATTAAACATTTTGAAAGATCAGTTTTAAAATAATTTTTTTCAAATGCAACTAATAAAGTAAAAAAAAAAGTTATTTCTACTTCAAGTTTTTTAAAATTTATTTAAAAGCTAAATTATTTTCTTTTTCATAAGGAATTGTTTTACTTATTCTTTAGCTTTTTAATTTTTTTTTTTAAGTTTAAGTTTAGGTTAACGTTTCAGCGCATTTCTGAAATGTTTAAATCATCAAAACATCTTAACAGTCGTGGTTATTAAACAAAACAAAAAAATCATTTGCGTAAAAAAGTCAAAAGCATTCAAAGCGCTCGCCATTCCTGTCCAAACTTCATTTTGTAGAATTTAATTCTTGTCGGTCAAAATGTCCTACTACTTTGTAAATTAGGCGGACAATCTGAGGTTTTAGCCGGACAATGTCCGATGTCCGACCGTTAAATGGAGCCCTGTTTTAATGAAAAGTACATTAATCGAGGTATAAAAAGCAAGTTAAATTGGAATTGGAACCAAATTCCTGAAATTTTCACAAGTGAATGCTTAAAAGAGCCTTCCACACTACCATCACCTATTGCTTTAAGAATACCACCTAAAACTGGTATTTATCAAGAAGATAAACTTAGTTTTTTTTTCTGAAAATGATAAAATAACTGAATGGAACAAGTTAAACAGTAAACATTCACTAGAAGGTTTTCAATTTAAAAAACATCTCAATTGAGTTATTTTTTAAAATTTAATATTTAATCCTTTAACACATTTTCCTTCTGTTCTTGAATCAATAAAAATTGATCATTGTTTATGTTTAGCTTAGCAATACAAAGGAAATAATGTTCAACTCCGTCTATGGTTAACTAAAGGCCATAATTGCAAGTTAACTAGTTTGAGTATGCTAGAAAATCTTGCATCGTACATAAAAAACATAGCTTCTTCTAATAGAAATATACTTCTTGAGAAAATAAATAGTAGAATATACTATAAAGCGAAAGGTCAACCGCTACATTCTGCAGGTATGATCAGACATGCTTTATTATTAAGATATACATTTAAACAAGCATATGAAATTTTACTTGAATCGTTTCCATTAACTTTAATATCTTTATTAAATAAAATAAAACAAGGTGGAGCTGATGCAATAATAGGTTGTTAAAACACTTTGTGTGAAGGGTTCAATACATGAAGATATAATACTAATTGTAGATGAATTTTATCTTTAGAAACAGGCACAATGTTGTAGTGGTGTCTATGCGGGTGCAAATGTTGCATTTATGATTGTTAGTTTAAAGAAATCTATTCCTTATGTCATAAAAGCAGTACCCGAAGTTACCATTAGTGGTAAAAGGCTTTCAGAGCAAATATCAGATTCTATTAGTTCTCTTTCTTTATCTGGTTTTAAAATTTGAGGAGTTGTTACTGACAATCATCAAGCAAATGCATTTAGTTTACTTAATTAGAACTTTGGTAATCTATCAAATTTATTTATTTATTATCCTGATATTAAAATGTCCAAATATTAAAATATACTTATTTTATGATGGTGTTCATATTGTTAAAAATACCAGAAATAATTTAGTACACTGCCAAAAATTTGTCTTTCCATCATTTACTTATAATATAAAAGATGTCTATAATTGTCCAGCTGGTTATATAACTTGGGGAGATTTTTATCTTCTACATTCTAAAGATGAACAACTTCAAGGTAATTTGAAAAAAGCTCCAAAAATTACATATCAAAGTCTTCACTCTGGTAATAAAAAGCAAAATGTTTTTCTTGCACTGTCGATTTTTGATGAAACCATAATTGCAAGTTTTAAAAGTTATTTTCATAAACGAAATGACGTTTCTGGTTTTTTGAGTATTTTTCAAAAATAACTTGGGGAGATTTTTATCTTCTACATTCTTCTACAACTTCAAGGTAATTTAAAAAAGTTCCAGCTGAATTATGTGAATCAGGAAACTAAAAACAAAAAGTGAATTCCAAAGAACTGATGTTAAATGAAAAAAACTAGACGAATAAGAATTTTTGGAGCACTTAGAAACAGTCACAATAAAAGGATAAGACTTGATTGAATAAAGAGTATACAAGAATGAGTTTTAGTAGATGGTATAAGAGACACTGATACTTTAGAGCAGTGTCTATTTTAGTACATTTATAGAAAAGAGAAAGAAAAGCAACATTACAACTATGTAACAAATGGTTGGAGGTTGGCTGCAAGAGCAGGTGCAACTATGTTTACAATGTGTTTTTGCAACTTGCTGATTGGATTGAACTATGGCAGAAATCTCCATTTTTTACCTTATCTAAACAAACATCATCTGCTCTTACTACAACTCTGCGTTCTCAAGCAATGCTTATAGACGTGCTTATCAAAAAAGGATATTTGTATGTGCTTACTTCATGACTTCAAATTGACCCTATAGAGCGTAGATTTTCTCAATATCGACAGATGAGTGGTAGGAGATTTCTAGTAAGTTAACTAGAAGTTCAACATTCAGAGATTATTTTATCATGTCGAGCTTTAATTAAGGAGAATGTAAATTTTTGGGATGAAGATTTAAATAACAATTATGATAACCCAATTAATGATGAATTATTCATAACATTAGATTTAAACTCAAATAAGATATCAGAATTAACCTGTCACCTGAAACAGAAGAAGTTGCAACAACAATTGCTGGTTATATAGCAAAGAAATTAATAAAAAAAAGCAAATGGAGTGATTTCAAGTTTATGATTGCTAAAGATGCAAGCAATATAAATAATTGCCCATATCTACAAATACTTTTACGAGGTGGTCTTACTGTGCCTTCACTTTCACTTAAGGATTTCACATGTGGATCCTTTACAGTCTTAGATAATCTTTCAAATTTAATAACTGAACAAGGTACTAAAGTCAAAGATGTATTAAGCTTTGTTTTATTAAAATACTTTCCAACAGTTTGCTTTATTTACAATTTATACAAAATATGGGGGTTTAAATTTGCTTCTAAAATTATAATTAATGTCTTTTTTTAACAATAAGCAGAAGATAATCAATGCCACTGTACAAAAAGATGCTGTTAAAAGTTTTAAGCATAGACAGAGAGAAAAATAATAACAGAAAAAAACACAAAGTTTAACCTTTTTTTTTTTTTTTTTTTTTTTTTGTAAACTCCCAGTGTTGCCAATTTAAATGTGTAATGTACAAATATGTAAAAATATATATTATAGATACAAATATATATACATAATATACATAGATATATATGTTTATAAATACATAAATCGCTAGTATGAAAGCAAAAAATATCAGTTTTTCGTGAATACTTTTTTATTCATAATATTCCTACTTGTAATATTATATTTATACTATCTATTTAGTCTAATGATAATTATATGTTTTCTCTATAGTTCTGCAGCCATCTTTTTTTATAATAGGCCTCTTAGAATCAACCTCTAAAATGTAACACACACGGCCGTGTAATATAGTAGGCCATGAAAATAATTTCAAAAATTTAGTTTTAGACTCATTTAGTTTTAAACCCATTAAAAAAAACTTTGTTTATAAACAGCTGCTTTTAAATCAAATTAAAAGAAAAAACTGTAACAAACTAAAAAAATTTAAATGTATAAAAAATAAAACAAATTAAAATAAAAGCTTTTTGCACAAAGTTTTTCTATGTAAATTATGTAATATTGTTAACTACACCTCAGCAACAAATTTGTTTCTTTTGTTAATTCTTTAATTCAGTTTTATATTAAATGTGAATCCTTATTCATATGAATAAAATCTTATTAAATTACCTTGACTCGTTTTGGAACAGGATCATTCTTTATCGACTTGAATAAAAGATTTAGAAGCATAGTCTAAACAAAACATAATAAAAAATAAAATTTATAAGCATGAATTTTTAAAAAGAATGTTAGAATTTATTAAAAACTATTGATATGTCAAGGGCAATAGTCCCTGCCTCAGTGCTTTCATAAAATGGACAACAGAGCCTTTTTATTATAACAAGTCTTTTTGAACAAAAGGGTCAAAATCCAATTGCCAGAGAGTTGTTTGGCTCAAGATGAGATATTAAAAGTTTATTGGGTGAATCTGATCTATGACCTTATTATGACTATTACCTTATGATCTTGTAACTTGAGTTTTGTTTTAAATCACTTGATTTTTATCTTAAGATACAAAATTAAAGAAAGAAGGTGATCAATTTGAGTTGTCTGGAAAAAAAATTACAAAATTAACTACCTTTGTAATAGATTGAGAAAGACAAAATTCTTGATCTTGAAGGCCAGCAGAGCCAGTAGTAACCCAGGTCTATTGGTAAGTAAGGCTTGTTATTGAAGTTACCAATAACAACAATATTGGCTGAGGAGTATACCACCATATCCGTGTTGGTACTGCAATCAACTTAATAAATAAATAAAAAGAGAACCCTATTATTTTGAGACTTTTGAAAAAAAAAAGCATATGACCAGGCCAACTATGACGACAGCATATTTGTAAAGGATAGATTTAAAAACATATTGGTAGTAATTTTTTTTTTTAATAACCTTAAATACTTTATTCATGTTCTAAATTAATAGAAAACTTGACTCAATTACAAATAGTGTATGACACCTAGGCTTTACAGTAGGCTCATTCCTATTAATAATCAATTCAAAAATCATAACAAAGGACACCTTAGGCTGCCTCAATAATGATCACTAAAAGCACTAGCAGGAACACTTTCAATGAGCAACATGGCACTGCTAATTTACTATTGATGAAGTTAAATCAGCTTCTTTGAGAGGCTACTCAAAAAAATTCTAAAAACCATTTAAATCAAAGGAACAGAGTTTGGAAGACTTTACAACAAGCTGGTCTCAGAACAAATAAACTGAATTTTTAGACAGTAACCTCATTAGGACATAACTGAAAGAGTTGTATAACTACTACAATGGCACAAGCAAAAACACACGAGTAGAGTCAAGAAGATCCAATGATCATCTTCTTAGGTAGGATACAATGTAACAATTTTGCATCAGCCTATTAGATAAAGAAGAGTTGTGGAGCTGGTCAATTTACTCCTAAAATCTTTGCATAGGAAACCTACAAGACATAGCCAGATGCAGTTAACATCTGCCCAAGATGAGTATTTTTACTGAGACACCAGCTGTAGTCTTTACTCATCCCCAAGGCAGGAGGCATTTTAGATCAGAGTTAATTCTCCTAGCTTTTGCCTAGTAAACCCTAGTAAGTAGCAGAACAAGATTGTACTAGACTACATGTAGAAGTAGAAGGGTGATCCTAATTATCCTAATCCTGACCTAAATTTACTGTAACCTGTTACTGGATTTTCGTAACCTGTTACTGAATTTACTGTAACCTATTACTGGATTCAAAAAAATTAATATAATAAATTAGTAGGAACAATAAAAGAAACAAAAATAAATAAATAATAAAACAAAACAAAAATGTTGCAGTAAAACTAAAACATTATTGCTAGTTTTATATAAACATTACTATTACTGATGTGGAAGTAATATTTATTTTATATATATATATATATATATATATATATATATATATATATATATATATATATATATATATATAACGATTATATTATTTCTTATAACAAGAAGTAAATTGTATTATAAAAAATGAAAAAATTAACTTGCATGTTTTGATGTAGTTTTTATGTCAGGATCAAGAAGCTTTTCATACAAAGCTTGATAATAGCGATCAGATACACACTGCCTGCAATTATAAGAATAAAAAATAAACAGGAATTAAAAATAAACTTGAAAAAAAAAAAAAGGCTTATAGTATTATAACAATTAACCATCATTCCACTTAAATTGTCTTTAAACATCTTCATCATTTACACCATAATTTTTTCTGACTCTCATCTCAAAACATGTTAAATCTTAAAAATATTATAGATTGTAGTCTTTGTGATTAATTGTAGTCTTTGTGATTAATTGTAGTCTTTGTGATTAATTGTAGTCTTTGTGATTAATTGTAGTCTTTGTGATTAATTGTAGTCTTTGTGATTAATTGTAGTCTTTGTGATTAATTGTAGTCTTTGTGATTAATTGTAGTCTTTGTGATTAATTGTAGTCTTTGTGATTAATTGTAGTCTTTGTGATTAATTGTAGTCTTTGTGATTAATTGTAGTCTTTGTGATTAATTGTAGTCTTTGTGATTAATTGTAGTCTTTGTGATTAATTGTAGTCTTTGTGATTAATTGTAGTCTTTGTGATTAATTGTAGTCTTTGTGATTAATTGTAGTCTTTGTGATTAATTGTAGTCTTTGTGATTAATTGTAGTCTTTGTGATTAATTGTAGTCTTTGTGATTAATTGTAGTCTTTGTGATTAATTGTAGTCTTTGTGATTAATTGTAGTCTTTGTGATTAATTGTAGTCTTTGTGATTAATTGTAGTCTTTGTGATTAATTGTAGTCTTTGTGATTAATTGTAGTCTTAATTCAGTATTTTTTAAATGTCATTTTCACTCTTAAGATGCAACTATCAATTTATTATAGGAAATAGCTAGCATGAAAGCTACTATCTACTTATTATGGGAGATAAAGTTGTTAATTTCTTAAAAATGTAGCACAGTTAAGCTTATTTACTTTGAATGTTTAATGGGTCTCAAAATATGTTCAAATTACAAGAGTTTTTGAATTATAGAAGTTCAATCCTAAATATTAAATCCTTGAGACCAAAGAAATTCTTTGGTTTAAATGATCTTTTGACTTATAGAAGTTCGAATTATAAGAGATTAACTGTTTATACATAATTTTAGAAATAGATTTTGAACTGTCTGAAAAAATAGGAAAAAGTTGGATTTGAATATTCTTTTCTCCCCTTTTCAATATTTTTATAAAAAAGATTTCTGATAATTTTTATTAAGTAAACATTTTGAGATCTTTGAGAAGTATTAAAAAATTATTTTTCTATTTTTAAAAAGATTTTTGAAAATAGAAAAATAATTTTTTAATACTTTAAATATTTAAACGTTAACTTTTATTTTCTTTTTTGAATTTTATTAAATTTTTAGAAGTTTTTAACTTTAATGCTGCATTATTAGATTAAAAGATTTGAATTTAAACTTTAAAACATTTTTAAAGATTTTTAAAAATTTGAAAAAAAAAAAAACTGTTTAAAAATTGACAAGTTAGATTTTAACATTTTTAACATTCAGTGTAAAAAAAAAGTTTAAAATTTTTCTCCTGGTATTTATTTCCAAAGTTCATCTTTGAAAACCAGTTTATCTTTTTTTTATTTTTTAAAATAATTTTTAAATAGGTGTCTAAATTGTGATAATTATAATTAGGTGACTAAGTGTTAAATTTTGACAACTATATAACCAATCTGAAAATGGATGAATTCCAATTTAAAAAAATTAAAAAATTAAAAAAAAAAATTTTTGCTTTCTCTCTTTTATTATTATTTTTTTGCTAAAAAAACCTACAGAACAAGAAATTCTTTTAAGCAAAAAATCTCTTGAATAAAACATTTAATCAGCAATTGTGTTATCTAATATATAATCATTAATATATTTGCTGATATATTATAGATTATATATCCACAATTACTATACATTTAATACAACCTGATTAATATCAGTGTATAATATTTATAACCTGTTTATTTAAAGAATGAACTTCATTGAGATAAAAGTTTACAAATAAATTAAAAAACTATGCAGGTTTATTATCAGCTTATTATAAATAACCATTTTCATATTACTCTTTAAAATGCCTTTGTAAAATTATAAAAGAGTTATTGCCATCTTTTATAAATTAATATCAAACTTACTGTAATTACTTATTTGTGTGTGTGTGTTTGACTCGAAACTCAAAGCTATTAAAGTTAATGCCGATAAAAAGTTATTCAGCAGTTCTTTAATAAGAAAATAAAAAAAAAATTAATATAAAATTAATGTAAATTTGAAATTAGATAATAATGACATTAAGCTGACAAGAATGTATCATTTTTTCATTCATAATTTTTTTATTTAAATTTTTGCTGGAATTACATATAAAAAGCTTATATATATATATATATATATATATATATATATATATATATATATATATATATATATATATATATATATATATATATATATATGTATGTATATATATATATATATATATATATATATATATATATATATATATATATATATATATATATATATATATATATATGTATGTATATATATATATATATATATATATATATGTATATATATATATATATGTATATATATATATATATATATATATATATATATATATATATATATATATATATATATATATATATATATATATATATATATATATATATATATATATAACGGGTGACAACTAAAAAACGAGACTGGATTTAAAGACACATCTCCTTTAAGAAATAAGATTTTAAAAATAGGAAAACTGTTTTAGAAGGTATTTTTATTCTAGTTTTTAAATATTTTATGTGTTTTTATTTTTTACAGAAAAATGAATAAAAAAATAAATTCGAAACAAGAAGAGGTTAGAAAATGTGTGTATGAATTTTATTTAAATTACAAAAATGCTGGTAAAAAGTTCACTTATGACCACTTTAAAGTTGAGAATGTACCCAAAAGTACTATTTACAAGATAATTAAACATGCTGAAAGTGAATCTGGGTACCAAAGAATTCAAGGAAGTGGAGTAAAAATTAAAAAAATGACCAGGACAAACATTTAAAGGCTCAAACTCATGTTTGACCATAAAGACAGAGTTTTTCAACGACAGGCAGCAAAAAAGTTCAACTGTACTCAGCAACACATTAGTAAAACATTAAAAAAAAAAAAAAATATTAAATCAAGAAAAAAAATGACGATTCCACAACACAGAAAAAAGCGGTAGCTAGAACTAAGTGCAGTCGATTGTGCCAGAAATTCAAAAATTGTAAACCAATCATTGACAATAAGTCTTATTTCATGTTAAATCACTCCAGTATCAATGGAAATGATATATTTTATACTAGTGATGTAAAATCTACTCCATCTACAGTTAAATATCAAACTTAACAAAAGTTTCAAAAGAAACTACTTCTATGGATTGCTTTTTTTTAACCTTATTTTGTACCAAGTGGACTGGCTGTAAACCAAAAATTCTATTTAAACAAATGTATTAAAAAGAGACTTATTCCATTCATCAATAGGTATCATTCAGATGGTGCATATGTATTCTGGCCAGGTTTAGCATAATCTCACTATGCAAAAACAGTAATTATATACCTAAACAAGGAAAACGCGCATTATGTTGAGAAAGCGGATAACCCTACAAACTTGCCAAAATGTCGCCCTATCGAAAATTTTTGGAGTATTTTGAAAGGCCTTTTCTACAAGAATAATTGGTATAAAAAATCTTAAAAAATTACGTTCTATAATCAAATATTGCCTTAATAAAATTGATATCGAGCTCATTCGGAGACTAGCTCAGTCTATACCAGGCCTAGTTGATAAAGTCAGAAGAAATGGTTTAATTGAGAACAACTGTTATATATTTAAAAACTAGAATAAAAATACTTTCTAGAACATTTTTCCTTTTTGTTTTATCTTATTTCTTTAAAGAGGTAAGTGTCTTTAAATCCAGTCTCGTTTTTTAGTTGTCACTAGTTATATATATATATATATATATATATATATATATATATATATATATATATATATATATATATATATATATATATATATATATATATATATATATATATACACACCCTTGATTACTTTTAATTAAAATAACTTCTCTAAAATGCTCATTAAACATCTTATTCCTTTAAAGAGGTAGGTGTCTTTAAATTCAGTCTCATTTTTTAGTTGTCACAAGTTATATATATATATATATATATATATATATATATATATATATATATATATATATATATATATATATATATATATATATATATATATATATATATATATATATACATATATATATGTATATATATATATATATATATATATATATATATATATATATATATATATATATATATATATATATATATATATATATATACACACCCTTGATTACTTTTAATTAAAATAACTTCTCTAAAATGCTCATTAAACATTATGGGGAGGGGTCCTTCTTGGGAGGATCTAAATTCTATTATAACTGTAAACTTCAAAAAAGATTAGGAGAAGTATCACGCATTTGTAATCTGTGTTAGAGATACTTATATCATTAACATGTTCACGTAATCAATTAGGTAACCATGTGTTTTGAACATCAAAAAAAAATTTCTTTGTTAAATTTAAACTTTTGTTAGTTTCAAACTTTTCTTTTGAAATAAATAAATGGGGTGAGGTTTCTAACTATCTCTAAATATGCAGAAAAGAGCAGAAAATAATATTATGCATTCCTTCTCCCAGGATGTTTTTTATAAAATTTTAAAGTATGAAACTTCAGTTGTTAATATTAACTTAAAGCCTAGACTTTTAAATAAATATTTTTTCTACTGCTAATAATAATATAATAAAAACAACAACTACAATTACAACAACTTAGAGTTATTTAACAATTACAATCTATATATATTACAACAACTACTAAATAACATTGAATTAAAGAGACTATATAAAAAAGTATTGAAATGGTCGGTAGGGAATAGACTTACCATGACCCGTATTTTACAGGTCCGGACAGCTAGTATAAAGCAAAAGTATTATAAGTATAATGTATTGCCTTATAAAAATGTAGATAAACATAAATACCATCTTTCAGAATCAAACATAAAGCAAAGAACTTTCAAAAATTTGACTACAGTCCAAGAAATAAATAAATATTGTGATTAAAAGTTTATCCCTAATCAATCCATTCTTGCTACTGTTTTTGACTAAACATCACTTACAACAAATAAACACCTTTTACCTGATTATCATATTACAAAACTCATATTACAAATCTTGTTATATCAACTAGAAAGGTTTTATCAAAACCAAAACTACCATCTAAGTTATCTTTGACAGACAACATATAACATGTCTCTTTTGCTTAATTATTTTGTAATTCTTAAACAAAATCACATTACAAATTAAAAAAAATAGCTTGTATCATTAGAAATTTCAGGGATTCCATGTAATAGATTAAGAACATGAAATAAATATTAGATTTGTAATCTAATGAAAGTTGTGTTTCCTTGCCTTACTGTGCTCACCTGGAGCTCTGTACTTGATAGATTAGCATAAACGCCTAAAAATAAAAAATATAATATCAAGAACAATTATTTTAAACAAGAAAATATAACAATGATAATTTTTATTAACAATATAACAATTTTAATATTTATAAAATATTATTATTATAATGATTACATTTACTTAGAATTGTTAAATTTGCATTAAAAATGATAATTATTACATGATAATTATGTTAATTGTTACATTTGCATTAAAAATGATAATTATTCTGAATAAATAATATTTTATTTTAAGAAAACAAAAACTATTAATTATATTAAAAGCAAAAAATATTAAAATAAAAAAAGTTATTAAATAAAAAAAAACTAAACATGTTTCAAATTGTATTTCAGAATATCAAAATATGAGTATTTTCTTTAATATCAATACACAAGACTCAACTTGTATATTTTAGTTAAACATTAAAAAAAAAAAAAATGTACAAAATACTAATATTTTTGATTTTGAACTTGACTTTTTTAGCTATTTATTTAATAGTAGATATTTCGACTGACTATCTATTTATTTATAGTAGATACATTGGCTGACATCAACTCAGGGTTTAGATAAGAAAAGCAATTAATTTTTTCCTTATTCTTCATTTTTTTCTTCCTGTTTTCAAAATGTTAGGAAATTATGTCTTTAGATGTAAATTATGGGTGACAGGAATAATGTTGAAAAATGAATTTCGGTGCAAAAAAAAAGGAATAGTGCTGCAAATGAATTTTAATGAATAGTGTTGAAAACAAAAAAAAGGCAACGCAAATAATAAAACACAAATAATAAAAGGAATAGTCGCAAATAGTAAAAACGGAATTATAGTTGAAAAGAATAAGCAAAAAATAAGGTCAATTTCAGAATAAACAAAGAAACCCAATAGTATAAAGCTGAAATTTGGCAGAGAGAAAGTGCACAGCCTTTGGGTGAGGATAGGAAAAAAAAACCAGTTGATCGCGCTACAGTAATATCCCTTTTGGGCAATTTTAGGGGCAAAAAAGGTCCATTTTGCACCTCAAAAATCTTATAAACTTTAGACGGTTGGATCGAAAATTATATCTTGATCAATATTTATATAAGAACTATGACTTATATGCAATTAATTAAAAAATTAGTCTCATTTAAAAGTGTAAAATTCCGTTTGAGGTTTTTGGTGCAATAAATGTTTTGGCATGATGTTGTAAAACATTTTGTCAACATCTAGTTTGAATGAGGTTAGCAATGTTTATCCACTATTTTCTCTAAATCTTTTTAAACAAAATTTTTTTTGGAGAACAATCTGGTAAGAATAATTTAGTGTATTTTACAGATTTTTATTGTATCGAAAAAATCAAGATTTTACTTTTGGTTTTTTTAGATTTCGTGGATCCAGACTTGCCCATGATGCACTTAGAATCTAGGTAATTCACTTTTTGCAGTTTTTATATTGTTTTCCCATGATTCTGATACAAAAAAGGTCATCTTTAATTCACCATAGCCACTAGGTAAAAAGGGACGCTAGTTTTCGCATCCTGATATTTTTGTTTTAATAAACCAATTGCTGGTAGCAAAACTAGTTATGATTATACTCTGATACTCTGGAATAAAAGTTTATAACATTGAACATTATTGTCGTTGGCGCACAAAATGTATCTGTATTTTATTTCTTCGCAATGTAAAATTTTACAAAATCCAAAATAGAAAAACTATAAATTCAAATTTCAGAAAAAAGATAGCAGCTAAACAAAAATGCAAAATAAATGTGTAGTAGAATCCCTTTAAGTCGGACTGTCAAGGGTAATAGATTTCAGACTTACCCTGATAAGTGACTTAAAAAGTAACAACAATATTATCAACGAAATAAGAGACTTACCGATAATCAAATGTCCATGAAAATTTTTTCATGGAATGAAAAAGTTTCGAATTATAACTAATGTTTTTGAATTTCTTTAAATTTTATTATTGCATCATGCGCACTAATATGCAGTTCAAAATAAAAAACCTAGTTAAGCGAAGTATTTTGCCGAAGGAGCTTAAAAAAAGGGTATGAGTTAGCAAATTGTCCCACTTAGCCAGGGTACGACTTAAGCGGATGATTTTATACTAAGGGAATTGAAAATCTGTCCAATTTAGTAAAGGTCCGATTCTCCAGAGTACGAGTTTACAGGATTTTACAGTATTCATTTGCAAATAATGTGACATAATTCAGATAAGATTTTATAATTTCCTCAGCATGCGATATGATGCGTTTACCGTCCAACTTAAGTAACTTAGTCAGAAATCAAAGTTGTTAGTTCAATATCAAATAGGTTGCTTTTTGAAGATTTGTATGATTTTATTTTCATCTGCTATCAGATAAAAAGTCATTTATTTTTACAAATAAATGATTCTGAAATAAATTTCTGAAATAAATTTCTCTGAAATAAATTTGCAATAAAAACTGAATTTGAAATTTGAAATAAAAAACTGAAATAAATTTCTCTTTGAGAAACGTATAAAACTTTAAGAACTTTCAAGGTTTAAAATTTTACGTAATTATTAGATTTAAAACTCTTATATTTCTCTTATATTTCTCCTTTATTAATTGCTATCTTAATTACGTTAACATAGCATGCTACCAATAAAAATAAATTGAAAAAACTCTTTAGTATGCAAAAACATGCAATCAGAATTGTATCCAATGAAAGCTTTACACTCTACCAACCTTTATTTATTAAGTTAAATATACAAAATATCTACCAAATAAATATTTGTCATCTCCTAATTTTTATGTTCAAAATAAATATAAGCATTATTTCAAAATTTTTTAACGCTTTATTTAACCCTTTAACAGTTTTAAGTATTTTTTAAAATACGGTCGCTATTAGTCCAGCTTTTTTTTTAAAGCGGTCTCTAAATGTCCTGTGTTTTTAAAAACATCGTTTTTTTTTTTACTAATAGAATAAGAAAAGTTTTTTTACTATTTTTAACATTGTTAAACATTACAAAACATCATTATTCAAGTTTAAGATATATAAATTATACTACATGAACACAAATATTATAAAAATGTATTCACTAATTTTCACTTTTTATATGACAATTGAAAAAGCCTAGTGCTGCACAAAGTAAATTACATTCTAAAAATTCATCTTGAATCTTTTTGAATTATGTGTTTGTAACTTTTGAATTATGTGTTTTTAATTCATTAATCTTTTATTATCATTTTCAATAATCATTCATTAAATATATCATTATTTTCATTATTGATTCATCAAATGTATAATTTTCTATCTTTTAGTGAGTAAATATTTACATTTCGGTAACTATTTTTGCACTAAAAGAACTTCCTTATTTGTCATATTTAAAATTAAAGTGAACACGTATAAAAGTGAATTATTGAAACAAAAGCTCTTTAATTATGTAGTAATAAATTTTGTGACCAGAAGACATAATTACTGATGAACAAGAAGGTGATATAAGGAGATGCATAAAACTATAATATTATGGCATGGACATTTGGAAACCACTTATAGTTTGCGTAATACTACAGCATGGACATTTGGAAACCACTTTTAGTTTGCGTAATATTACAGCATGGACTGTTAATGGGTTAAAATAAATAATTTATTTTTGAATAACCAGTTATTAAATTTTTTTTGACCTGCTATTTAAAATAAATTCAATTTCAATAAGAGGACCAAATGGGAATAAAATACTTACAACTGAACTTTAAACTTAAAATAACGAGTTTAAGACAAAACTTAGACATCTATTACTAAAGAATGATATAGCACAAAACTATTTCTAAAAATGCATCACACCCTTATGATTGATCAATTACATCAATAATATTAATCTATATATATATTAACTTTAAAAAGGATTGAGTTAAATGAACTTAGCAACTTTATTTACGTCTTTGTTCGATATGTTTTGTTATTCTTTTTATTTTTGATCACTAGATTTTTGTTTTGTGTTCTTAAGTTTGATGTATTTAAAAAAAAAATTCATCACTTTTCAATAAATAAAAATTGTTTTTAAGAAGAATTTTAACCCAATAGCACTATTTTTTTTTATAATAGATATTTTATTTATTATTTTACCACTTTTTTACATTTGTTTATTAAATAAAGTTAAGGAAATTTCTTATTTTTAAGTTAAACTTTATATTTACGGAATTTATTAAGAGGCTTGACGATAAGACATATTGACTTTAAAATCAAAGGCACAGGTTTCATTTAAAGATCAAGTAGCAAAGACGCATGCGAACATGGTGTTTTATCCTATAAAAGGTGAAAACGCTAAATATAACTTTTACAATTTTAAACGTAAATAACTTTAAAAACTCATAGTTTTTAAAGTTATTTACGTAGCCCCTAAATTGCCCCAAAATGGATGTTCCTGTAACGCAATCAACTAGGCTCTTTTTACGCTCATCCAAATACTGTATTTATTCTTTCTGCTAAATTTCAGCTTTATAGCTTTGCTGGGTTAACTTGTAATTCTCTCCGACTATAGTATCGCAAATAATAAAAACGGAAAAGTGTCACAAATAATAAAAAAGGAATAGTCACAAATAGTAAAAAAGGAAAAATTTCTGTTTACTTAGTTGTTTTATCAAATTATTTTACAAATTACTATTGTTGTTTAACCTTTTACCTCATACCTTTACTAACATCATCCGCTTGTTTTCGGGTTGACGGGTTGTTATCTGCATCTGAAACATCACAATCACTTTTTATTAAAAAGTCTTCCAAATCTGAACTGTTTATTTTTGCCATGTTAATTGTGGGATAGGCAACTTTTCCACAGTTCAAAATTTTTTTTTCTGTTAAAATAAATATAATTATAGGTAGCAGCAGTGCCGGCTTTATTGGGTAGACTGGGTAGCAGCACTGTAAGGATTGGTTTTGGGGTTTGGTACTTTTTCCACAAGCTACATACTAAATGTATTGTTGGCAGTGATTATCCAGAAAGTTTTTAAAATAAGGGTTAAAATTTTTCACTGAACCCCTCAAATAATAATACCGATTCAATACCACAGGAAAAACAGGTCGTTATCAAACGCTTCATACAAATGATACAAACAATACAAATGATTTGTTGTTTAAGGAACATTTATTTGAAGTTTATGATAAAAACATCCCAAAATGTAATTTTTATAAAACAAACAAAAGTCTAGAATAACCATGGGTAACAAAAGGTTTTAAAAAATCCTCAAAAATTATTTAATACCTTAAAACAAAACAAAAAATGTCAAACTATTTGAAAATCAAAGATAACACCTTAAATTCATTTGCGCCACTATTCCATTTTTTTCATTTTCAACATTATTCATTTAATTAATTTGTGACACTATTCCATTTTATTGTTTTTGACACTATTCCTTAAATTCATTTGCGACACTATTCCGTTTTTTTGTTTTCAACACTATTCCTTAATTCATTTGCGACACTATTCCATTTTTTTTGTTTTCGACACTATTCCTTTAACTCATTTGCAACACTATTCCATTTTTTTGTTTTTGACACTATTCATTAAATTTTTTTGCAACATTATTCCTTTTTCTATTTTCGACACTATTCACCAAATTCATTTGCGACATTATTCCTTATTCTGTTATTCGACAACCAATCATGCGAAAACTTGCAACACTATTCCTTTTTCACATTTTCGACAATCAAAATTTTGCGACACTGTTCTGTTACACCTAAATTATCTGTTGTGTGTGTATATATGTATGTATGTATGTATGTATGTATGAATGCATGTATGGGTGTATGTATACATATATAAACATATACATGTATATGTGTGTATGTGAGTGTGTGTGTGTGTGTGTGTGTGTGTGTGTGTGTGAGTGTACTACAGTACAGTATGTATATATATATGAACACACATACATACATACATACATACATACATACATACATACATACATACATACATACATACATACATACATACATACATAATAGAAAATTTATATTACTTTTATAATAAATAAATTCTTTAAATAAATTTTATCATGTATCATGATGAATCTTTGAATATAATATTATAATTATTTGTGAGGTATGTCATTCAGTTTAATTGAAATACTTGTGCAGTTTGTCATTCAGTTCAATTCTAAATACTTGTCATTTAGTTTATTCTAAAGATTTGCTAAAGAATTGCAGATTTGCAAGGTACATTCAAATTAAATGAATACACGTACTGAAAAAGTGAATTTATATTATGTAATTTTGTACTAATTGATAGTTACCTGAATACTAGTACTTAAGTGATTTACATGAGTCAATCTAAAAAGATTGTTCAATTGTTCGTCAAAATCTTCATCTTTGTCTGAATTAAATTAAAAAAAAAAAAATTGAATTAAAATATAACAAATATAATTCTAACAAAACATAAAAAAAAAAAGTTTTTACTGTAAAAATACTAGTAACTACATTTACATGTTTAAATCCAGCAACAAGTTAATTTAAATTAACTTGTTGCTGGAATTTTGATAAAATAGAAACTCGAATAAAATATTTTGTTTAACTTAATAGACACATCATAATATTTTAATATGAGAAATTGATCATGTGAGTTTTTTTTTGTTTTTTTTCTCTGCTGCAAAAATATAAATTAAAAAAATTTATTCAATTTAAATAATGATTTGAATCAGGCGAATGAAAATCATAACTTCAACTATTTGATTTATTAACATTCATATGCACTTAATAAACTTTATTAATATAATACAATATAAATTAATATATAAATTGTAACTTTTTTCAAAATTAAAAAAAAAAAAAAAAGATCTATACTTAAATTTAAATAAAGTTAAATTTTAAATTTAGATATATTTTCAATAAAGAAAATATTTTAAAATTTATTTAAAATTACAAACTACAACTTCAAATAAAAATGTCTTGTGCTGGTCAAAAACATGCTGCAATTTGAACATGGTTTGAAGACAAACTGCAAAGTTTTAAAAAAAGGATAATAGAGCTAAATGTAAAGTTTGTGGTGTTAAAAAACAAGGTTGGCTTTATTGAATAAGAAACCACCCTACGTATTGGTAAATGCAATATTTTAAAATATGTAATAAAGATAATGAGAACATTTACTTTTCCCATGACACTGTGGAAAAACTTTGAGAAGAAACTCATCTGCTCAATTTTTAGTCTAGATTTTAGCCCAACATTTGGTAATCTTAAACATCAAGAAGCAGGTAATTTAAGTTGTTAAATATTTTTATAAATAACCATTTTGTTGCTGCAACATAAAAAGAAAAAAAAAGGTTTTGACTTGTAATGTCAAATGGAATGCATCAGTTGATTGCTGTATACCAAATCAAAAACACTATTCAATTCTATTAACAACCTGTGAAGAAAACAGAGCAGTAATAGATAAGAATATTACAGATATTGTTAATAACCTTAATACAAAACTAAATGCAGAAGAATTGTTATAAATGCTTAAACCAATTGCTCTAGCATTGGACCTGATGCAGAGGGATTACTGAGACTAAGTATAAGGGGCTATTGGAGACATTGTAATAAAATGAAACAAAAATTCAACACAAAGAAATTAGATATTGTTTAATTTTATTTTTTTTTTATAATTGACTTTTAACCTGATAAAAATACAAAGATTTACATAAAACGAAAACAAAACAAAAAATTTAAAATGTACTAACCATTACAGTATGGATAAGCTCTGTTAACACCAGTCAATAATGCACTCAGCAATTTTGTTTCTTGAACATCCTTGGCTTTTGAATTATCTTTTTTGACCAGTAACTTAAGAAAAATAAAAACAATTTTGAAAAAAAACACTTAAGAAAAACAAAAACACTTTTGAAAACAAGTGGAATAAAATTAGCATCTTTTGTTTTTATTGTGAGTACAAGCTGGTCTTGAAAAGATAAGTACATGAAAAAAAATAGTACATATCAAGTGTATATTTCTGTTAAATTAAAACAAATTTCATAAGTTTGAAGACATTACATTTAAATACCATCACAGCTATCATTTATGCTGGCCAAACGGATGTTGAGATACAGAACTTGATTTTAAGTGTGCAAATAATGGTAAAAATAAGAATTCAAAAATTTTTAATTTTTTAACTTAAAAAAGTACTTTTTTGAAAACAAATAAAGTAAATAAAAATAAAAACAGAAATTTGATTCTTCATATTAAATTTAAATAGGGTGTATCAAAAATATATATACATTTTAATTTCAAATTGTAATAGAGCTAAAAAGTTGCATAATGATATAAATAATTGTACCATTTTTTTTTTTTTTGTCTTTAGTTGGTACCAGGGGGTGGTTTTTTTTTTTTTTTTAAAAAAAAAAAAATGTTTTCTGCCATTTTTTACAAAACAAAAATAACAAATTCTATGCACATACTAGATTTGTAATAGAATTCAGTTTGAAATTTTTGCAATTTTTAATTGTTGTTGATGCTTTCACTTGTTGTTACCCTTAATAGAATAATGAAATAAAACTAATAAAAGTGTTATATACCAAACATTCTGTGACCAATGGTTACAGCAGCAATTATAAACATTGCATTAAAGTATGTAAAAATGGAACTACAAATATAACTTTATTATTATTAATTAAGCTACTTATTACTCACACCATCAGTATTATTTGCCACAACTTATTACCCACAACATCAGTATTATTTGCCACAACTTCAAATCAGATCATTTATTTACTAAATATTCTGATAAATAGCAGGAAACCATCACCATCAGTATTATTTACTGTATTATTTAAAGCACAGTTTATAATTTATTAGTTCTGGTTTACTTTTGCTGTTGATTACTAAAATAAATTGAAATTAAAGAAAAATTGAATGGCAAAATTGTCTTCTGCTGCAGTGACAACAAGGAGAAAGTCAGCTTATCCTACCTTAAGTCTATAAAAAAAAAAAAAGTTTAAAAGTTCTTCATGCAAGAAATCAATTTTGAAGCAAAAGAATACATAGAATTGATTGATTGACAAAAATGTGAACTCAATGAACCTCTGATTACAGCGCACATCTCAGATGAAAATATAATAGCAATGTTAAGAAATATTTGTTTCAGGTGGGCTGCATTTTCCATACCAAAGTTTGATGCATCTCTCTACTCAAAGTAGAGAGATGCATCAAACTTGTAATTGAGGCATCAGATCAAGTTTGCAGTTCGGTTAGTAGATATGGCTTCATTTGTGCAAGACTTAGTAAAAAATAATGCCTGTATGCGACACAAAAGTTTTAGACAGAGGCAAATGAATCTTTGTTATAGCTAAAGCTTAAACATAGCAAACCTTTTAAAATTTTGATTGAATATTATGGACTGTGGAGCTTGTTTGGCAAAAACTCACAAAACAGTGTTTTTTTATAAAACCCAGCAGCAACTAAAGACGCTGAAACATTTTCTCAAAAATTGTAAACATTTCTAATGACTGTAATTATATATTACACAATGACTGAGTCATTGTGTAATATATTACACAATGACTGAGTCATTGTGTGATATATAAACTCTATTACAAATCTAGTATATGCATAGAATTTGTTATTTTTTTCTGTCAATTTCAAATTATTATTTATATCAATGTCAAATTATTATTTGTTTTCTATTTCAAATTATTATTTGTCTTTAATTGGCATCAGGGGGTTGTATAAAAAAAAAAAAAAAAAAAAAAACCCTGGTGCCAATTGAAATTTAAAAAATTGACACAATTACTATTTATATCATTATGCAACTTTTCTGCTATATTGTAATTTGAAATTCAAAAAAAAATGTTTTTTAATACATTTTTTTGGTAAATCACCTCGTTGAAAGTAAATTTGCTTAAAAAAAACTCCAGAATTCAAATTCATAATATTTAAATTGAAAAAAAGTTGAAAAGAAAGATACTTTGTGATATGATCACAAAATAGTTTGAACTGTATAATCATAATTGTTTTAACAGCATGATCTTTGTATGATACATAAACATAAATCTTATCAATTGCACTACAAAACCAATACTTTAAAAAATTTAATTGTATTATTATATAGGCACTAAAAGTCTTTTGAACCAAGTATGCAGTTTTTTCACAACTAAGTTTATAAATCACCTCATTGGTATATTAGTATATTATTATTATATATTACATTATATTATTATATTACATTGAAGAATAAAATAGATTTTAGAGACATTATTCCAATAAAAGACTCAGCTCACAATCAAAAGATTTGAGGTTCAAATTAACCCTAGGCTTCTGGAACTACCGCTTTTAATTTGTTTCTGTGCAGCAGCCAATAAGGCTAATGTTTCATATTCTAGGGTTGAGAGTTACAATTAAAAAAAAATTAAGTATAAGGTCCTGAGGAGGTAATTTAAAAAAAAAAGAAGTAAAATTGAAAAAAAAAATCACATTTAAAGGAGACTAGGGTTAGTTTAAACACATTTTTATTAACATCTTTTTCCAAGGAAGCTTCTCTTTATCCAGTTTGCTATTTTCTCACTCCTGATTTCATTCTCTACATCTACAAACCTCTTAATCGCTATTGTATGGAATGATGTTATCATATTTGGTCTGGTTCTTCAGATGATGCTCTTTCTCTTCTAGGCAAAGTCCAAAAACGCATTGTAAATGCGTTTTTGGACTTATCTGCCAAGCTTTTTGGACCTATCTGCCATACTGCCAGTCTCTCTCCCATTGTCATAAAGTTGCTTTCTTTTTCTCTTTTCTAAAATCATGGTCGCTGAAGGAGCTATTATCTCTAGTTCCATAAACTAAAAGTCATTCTTGGTTGACTAATTATTCAGCAAAGTCTCATTCTTGTACTGTATTTGTCCCTACATGCTCTAAAAACTTTTATTCATCTAGTTTTTTTCCCCACACTTTAACTGCCTACCATCTTCATGTTTTCCTGACTCATACAACCTATAACTTTTCAAGTCTTCTGTCAACCATTTCCTAGCTCTATAACTCTATTCTTTTTTTATTCCTAGTAACTCCCAACTTAATAGCGATTGTTTGCAACCTTGTTGAAATTGAATTAGAATAAAAAAAGTAACGTTGTTTTAAAAGCATTCTTGTTCATCCAGCCTGAAAATAAAAAGCATTCTTGTTCATCCAATAAAAAGCATTCTTGTTTATCCAGCCTGAAGAAATAAAAAGATCAAAAAATCTCTTTATTTATGGTTTTTTTTCACTATAGTCACTTGTGCTCTTAAAAACTGCTCCAACTTGCCTAAAACCTTTGTAAGCAATGACCTTGCTTGGTTTTTACACAGTGGTAATACCATTCTTATCATTTTATATATTAGATGAAAAAAAAATGGTCTGTCATTATCATCTGACAATTTTTGGAAAAAACTTATCTACATCAGCATGATTAAAGCTTGTTGCTTGTGTTAGACTTGTTATTTCTAGGGTTCAAATTTGTCACTATTAGTAAACCATTGAAAGTTTTAACCATATTTGGGGAAACTTAATGTTATACTTTTTGTACATTCAAATGCAAGCTTTTGTACTTCATATGGTGATAACCCAAAATAAATATCAAAACCCATTTATATATATGAACCAATAGATATTTACTGTTACAAAATTAAGTTTTACTTATAACTTGACTTATAACTATTTAAAAACAATATGAATTTTAATTATTTGTTGTTGTTATAATTATTATGCATATACAACAAAAAATTTATACTTTTTCTTGTTAGATAATACTTATTTTCTGCATTCAACAAAATTATAAGAAAGTTAGAAAAGAGTGTGAATTCAATCAAACCCACAGCTATATTCAGAAAAAAACCCAAAATTTTTATAAGAATTATCCAAAAAAAATCTGGAAATATAAATGCATTTTATGTAAGTTACAATATCTCATGTTTGAAAAGAAATTCATTATTTGTACAAAAAATGTGATAATACAGGGTTCCCACTATTAAAACTGAGGCTAAAAGTAAGGATTTTAAGGAGATTTAAGGAGATATTTTCCTAGTATTTATGGAGATTTTGTCACAAACAACAATTTTCTGAAAGAAAAAGTAAGGAGAATTAAGGAGAAAACAATTATATTAAAAACAGATTCTTATTTTCAATATATTTTAAATACAGAGAAATTATTATAAATTAATGTTACTAGAGAAATTATTATAAATTAATGTTACAAATTTTAACTTTTGTTAAGATCATTTAAGGAGGTTTTGATTTTTTAAGGATATTTTTAAGGTTTTTAAGGAGGAGTGGGAAACCTGTAATGGAAACATTATTTGTATGCAAAAAATGTTTAAATACATTACCTTTTCATGCAAGCAACAAGGGTGGTGGATGGTAGAATGCTAGAATTACGAAGCACGGCTGACAAGGTTGCATTTTTTTAATTTAATTTTTTGAACAAAAAAAGTTTAATTATGAAGTAGTTTTATGCCTTTTAACTAATATTATTGTTTATTTATAGCTATATTTATCATTTATTTTTATATTTCAAATTTTTATAGAATAAGTGCATAAATACGTACATAAATATATAGATATACACATAGTCACTAAAGAGTGCACATATATTGATTGACTTCAACAAGGGTAGGCACAATGGAGTGTACATGCATCAACTGACTTAAATAGGCACAGTGTAGTGTACTTACATCAACTGAGAGTTTATGTGTTGGCTTTAATATAAAAGAAAAGTATTTCCATATTTATTTAAATATTTATATAAATTAATTTAAATTAATTTAAATATTTATTTAAATTTATTCAAATTAATTTATAAAAAAAAATTATTGAATTAAATTGCATTAGATTTTCAGGTGAAATAAAAATTAATAATAAATAGATGCTTATAATTAAAAAATTGTTTGTTGTACATGCAAACTTTTGTACACATTTCACTGCAATGTTATCATTATAGCTATATAATGTAAAAATGTTTGGGAATACTAAATAAAAACCATCCTTTAAAAAGCACTGTTTTAACTAGCCCCTTTTGCAACAAACCTCAATCTCTCCTACTTTGAAAAATTTTTCTTTTTAAAAAAATAAAATATCTTACCTTGAAAAAACTAAAATATATTTGAATAAGTTTAGCGGCAATATTTTTCTCTTTTTGTGAAAGCACAATTTGATTAAGAAAACATATAGCATAATATCTAAAACAAATAATAGTAAAATATTATCTATTACTATTAATTATTATATATTACAACTTTCAATTACTATTATTACCAAAGTAAAAATAGTGATAGATAATAATCATTTTGATATTTTCTTTTGTTATTATTATTTTATATTTCTTTTAAATTTTTAAAGTAAGTTACTAGGAAGAGCTGTTTCTTCTTTAAGCCAAATTAAAACATGAGTTTATAGCAGCAAAATTATTATACTTAAGATATTGACTCTAAAAATAATATATCCTGTTGAGTTTTTACTTGACATAATTAGCCAAGCTGGATACATGATAACTAAACATCTTTACTGCAACCTAAAATGTTATCGTTTGTTGCATACAAATGCAATCTTTTATATCAAACTTGAAGATTTTTCTACTAAGGATTACTCATCATTAATCTCAACTTATATAATAATATTTATCATATAATTATAAATTATTTCACGATGTTGGATGAACTTGATGAAATAAAATTAATGCATAAATGATTTTACTGACTAGTGTCATTGATATCAAATGTATCAAATAGAAAAAAACATATTTTACGCTTTATATATATTATAAAAGATTAACAATTAATATAAAAATTAGTTATTATAAAATGCATATTTTTAGGGGTCCCGCAGGCATCCCTAAAAACATGCATTTTCTATTGTAACTTTTTAAGGAGAAAAAAGCTTACACTAAATATGCATTGTTCAAAAACTACTTATAAACATATGCACAATAGATACAAGTATGTCTCATGTAAAACATTTTATCTAGCATGTAAAACCATTTTATCTAATCAGTGCAAAAAATAAATTAGGAACATACTGAGCTTTTTCAGCCATATTTGGTCTATACAAAAATTGTTCAACTTCATTGATCACCACCTCTTTCATATTAGGATGCTTTACAACTATAATAAAAAGCTTTTGTTTATTACATGTCAGAATGAAAAGACTTATATAAATATAAATATCTACTAAATATAAATATTTACTGTAAAAGCAAAACCTACTTTTCCCATATGAGCTAAAAAATGTATTTATGAAAATAATCTAACAAAATTCTTTTTAACGAAATAATTGTTTCAAAGTTTGTAAGCAGTCTTCAGAAAATTTATTATTCAAGCAAATATAAATTGATTTACACAAAATATGTATTACATTCCACTTGAATACAATTCTACAAAGATGAACTTAGTTGTTAGAAATTTGTTAAATAGCAAATATAAAGTCTTAAATTTTAGAATTAGGTATTCAAATGTAGTTTATTATGCCTTTCTCAAACAAAGATAAAGAGTAGCATAAACATGTCATCATGAATGAAGGTTAGAGTAAAAAAATCATTTAAACTTTTAAGTTAACATATTTTTTAACTTATTGCACATTTTAAAAGGTTTTAACCACTAAAAGGTATGAAAAAACTATAAAAAAAATTTTCTTTCATTATGATAAACTAAAATAAAATTTAAATAGCAAGGTTTTTTTGAACTTTTTCAATTTTCTATTTTTAAGTCAGAATTTAAAAATAAAAAATGAAATAATGAACTTTTATTTTACTTAACATATGTTTTTAATTACAAATTAAAGTCATAAGTAAAACTTTAGAAATTAATAAAAAAAACTTATAGAAATATTTTTAAGTTGAACATTGGTAATTTTTCAACGTTGCCTAATCTTTTTTTAGTCTAATCATCAAAGGGTAAAAAAAAAGCAGTTTTTTTTATTAACAGATTGTTTCAATTAAGGGAAGCAAAAAATTACAGCTTCATGCTAAATTAGCTGTGTGAAAATATTTTATATAAAATTTAAATTTTTTTTTTATTATTATGTAATAACAGATTATCATTATATTTTAATGGTGTGTCACAGAGTTCTTAGTAATATATAGATGTGCTTCTCATTATAAAAAAACTTCAATAATAAATCTTAAAAAACTTAAAAAAGCTTAACAAAATAAGTTATTGAGTTAAGAATCTGGACAGATTACCTTGAAAGACAGCTTAAAAACAGATTTATCATTGCAGGTACCGAAGCACTCCAAAAAGTATTGAATTGCTACATAATGAAACTATAACACAACTAAGACATAGTAAAACAATCAATAAATAGTTTAGAAGCAACAGTTAAAAAAAATTGCTTCAAATCAAGTTCTAACCAGAAAAGGCTGTTATTAAAAACAAGAAAGATTTTTTATCATACTGCTTCTAATATTAACCTTAATTTTCAAATTCCTTTATTTTAATTTTTGTTTAAACTAATTTTTGGAAAAACTAGACAAATAAAAGCTTTTAGAGCACACAGGAATAGATACAGTATACAAACGAGACTTTACTGTATGACGAGTCAAGCGAGAATGAGTTTTAGTTGATGGAACTAGAGATAATAGCTCCTTTGAGCAGCGACCATGATAGTATTTATAAGAAAGAGAAAGAGATACAACTTTAAGTTGATAGTAGAGAGGCTCAAGCTGGCCAGAAAGAGCAGATACAACTACATTTACAATGTATTTTTAGACTTTGTCTAGAAGAGAAAGCGCATCATTAAAAGAACTAGCCCAAAATATGACAACAGTATTCCATACAGGGTCAAATAATAGAGTTTTGAATAGATAGAGAATGGAATCAGGAGTAATAAAAAGATGAGCACAATAAAGAAAAGCATAAAGAAAGCACAATAGAGCACAATAAAGCACAATAGAGCACAATAGAGCACAATAAAGAGCACAATAAAGAAAAGCAACTTAGCGGATGCTATTTTAGCAATGGACTGTATATATGATTTCCATGACAGGTCAGTAGTAAACGATAATCCTAGAAGACTCAGTGAAAGGATTGCCATTCAATAATATAGGAATGTTGACAGTATTACAATTGTTGTTTGCAGTAAATAACTGAGTTTTGTTGGAGTTAATTTACAAGCCACTGTGAGCCCTAATTTGTTACAGTAGTGAGATCAAATTCAAGATCAGCTGCCTGTTCTAAGCAATCAAAAAGAGAAGACTTTTTATCAAGACAGAAGTATAAAGTTGAGTCATCAGCAAAAAGAGCTACTTTAGATGTAAGGTTGTCAGGAAGATCATTATTAAAAAAAAGAAACAAATCAGGCCCAATGATAAACTTTAAGGTACTCCGGAAGTTACTGGAAATGAAGAAGAGTGTTTTCCTTCAAGGATGACTTTAATAAAGTGGTTAAAAAGAAACAATTTAATAATCTTAAAAACTTTCCAAGATAGACCATATGAAGCAAACTTATAAAGAAGACCAGCATGCCGAAGGCTTTAGATATGTCAAGAGCAACAGCCCTAGCTTCTTTGTCTCCATTTAATGCACAATAGAATCTTTCGGTCACAGCAGTTAGCTAGTCAGACATAGAGAAAGAGAACCAAAAACTGCATTGGCTGTCTGACAGTACGCTATTTAACTCCAGATGGGATCTGAAAAATTTGTTGATCAAGGACACAAAGACCTTGCTAATACCAGATAGAAGATTAATCAGACGATAATTGGAGGGGTCAGAATGTTCTCAGGAGTTTTTGAAAAATGGAACAACATATGCCATTTCCCAGCAGGTAGAAAAACAAGATTCACTCAAGCGCTTAACAAATAGTTTAGAGAGAGTTGAAGAAAATTTTGTGAAAAAACCACAAGCTGTAGAAGAGTTTAATTGAGATTTGACTTAAGCAATTGGAAGCTAAAGCAACTCGAATGTCTTGCAATGGGTTAACCTGTTTGATTGGAAGGCAAGGAAGAAAATGACTATAAGAAGAAAAATGATGATGAACTAAGAGAAAGGTAATATTATGAAGAGGTGCTAAGTGGAAGCACATAAAAGAATGGTCAAAGGATTCAAACCTGATTTTACATCAAATAGGTGAATTGATGCGTACTTATACGCCTTAGCCAAGCATGTGATTATTGAAGTCTTTGGAAATCAAAGGATAGTACCCATAAACACTGAGATTTAAAGAAGGAATTGCAGAATATAAATTAGTCTCACTAAGAGCAAGCTTGTTTGGCAAATTTTGCAAGAAAAGGAAAGATTCACCTGATGGAAGTTTGCTTCACAGACCCAGGCCTTGGTATTAAGCAGGAGCAATCGCTCTTGTCACGTGAAACACGCTCGTTAATGGAATATTTATAAATTGCGGGCGCAATAAAAAACGCTCTCTAATTTAGTTACGAGAGTAAAAAATCATGCTCGCCCTAAAAATATGGGAGGGAGAAAACTAATAAGGGTTTACTTGATTTTATGTTAAATTTTTTTATAAAAAGTTTTTGTTATAGATTCTTGTTTAATTGAACAAAAAAGTTCGCTTATTGTTAAAAACAAAATAATGTCTATTTACATATCTTTAATTGCGCTTTTTTAACTGAGGTAAAATGTTGAAGCTATACTTCAATTAAAAAACTCATTTTTTCATGTTAACTTAAGTCATTCTGTCTCAAATTTCTAAGAGCAATTAATGGTGATTTGTGAACAAAATAAACAAAACTTACAAAAACATGGCAATATTTATGTATTTTATTCAATAGATTTTTGAACATTTATTTTACAAATTGTGAAGTACTATTTCATAAAATAATTATCAAATTTTTTATTTTTTTAATACTTATCATATATGAAAACAACTGATCATAAAAATGGAGTTAAGAGGTGCATGATGCAAAACAAATGAAAGATAAAAAAACTATTTGTGATTTAGGAGTCATTTTTACACCTAGGTTTGTAATATTCTGAGGATGATGTTATACTAAGAACTAAATACAACAAAGTTTAAAGTGTGCAAACCGCCATATTTATTTCAAGTAATAATAATAACACGAGGCATGTGTGTATTATGCCGAACACGGATATTACAAGGTTCATCTAGATCATTGTGATTTAGGAGTCATCAAGTGGAGCGCTCATATTCAAACAGTTGTCTCTAAGTCCTTACAAATTCTTGGTATGCTGAAAAAGACATTTACTTTCATTGATGAAAAAATGGCTCTCAAATTATATAAAGTATTTATAAGACCACATCTTGAATATGGAGTGTCCATTTGGGCTCATTTAAAAGCTGATATGGCTTTGGTTGAATCTGTTCAACCAAAGCAACAAAATGGGCTTACAGCTTGAGGCATCTTCAATACTGCGAAAGGCTAAAAAGATTAAATCTACCATCACTTGAGTTTCGACGCCTTCGATGCAATTTAATCCAAATTTTTAAATTAATACATCGTTTTGATATAGTTAATGATAAATATCTACCAAAATATATTAACTCCATGTCTCGTGATCACCATTCTAAAATAAGGCGTGAGTATGTTTCAAACTGTCTTCCAAGATATAATCATTTGTATAATAGATCAGCAAATACTGGAACAAACTACCAGAGCAAATAACTTTGTACTCCACTGTACTTTCCTTCAAAAATAGACTAGACTCCTGGTTGTGGAATAAGTTTTGAACAAATATTTATAAAACTGGTTGTTTATAGTGGGGTGTTTTCCCTGCTAGCTGTATGTATATATATATATATATATATATATATATATATATATATATATATATATATATATATATATATATATATATTGATATTTAAGGTTGTTTTGTATTATAATAATAAAACAAAACTCATAGTCGAAAAAGTGTGCTCAATATTAAAAATATTATATATGTATATATATATATATATATATATATATATATATATATATATATATATATATATATATATATATATATATATACATATATGTAAATGTAACACACTGAAGATGAATAGAAATTATATAATTACAAATATTTTTACATTTAAGTTAAACACTTAAATAAAAAAATATTTGTTTGATTGTAAATAATTAATAATGTCCATTTCTGAACCCATAAGTAATAATAACTAATTATAAATAAATAAACATTCTTTTGAATTTTATGTAGAATGATAACAACTTGATTTAATTTGAAAATCATGAAAATCAAATAGTTGGCTTTATAAATCTGAAACAAAGTATTCAAATGAAAACCAGTTTGACTTCATTTTTTTTTTGTTAAGTAACACATCGCTTAACAAAGTATAATTTTAAAACCAATAACTATAATATACAGTTAAACAAAAGATTTTGAGTTGATAAATATAAATATTTTATTTTTTTAAATTAAAAAAATTGAAATTGAAATACAAGTAACATTTTTTTTTTTTTTGTTAATTCAACTCCCCAAGGCCGAGAAGGCCACTACAGACAAGGAGGCTATGAGGAGGCTATTATGTATGCTACATAGGAAAGTTCAATATTTTCAAATTTAATGAATAAAATTCAATCAATAAAAAAAGCAATTACAAGAAATGTGGATTGGCATAGTATTTTATAGTATAGGTTTTTTAGCTCAGACTTGTAAAAAATGTAGAAATAATTTTTTGAGAAATATGTTCGGCAATTAATTTATGTATAAGAAAACAGAGTTTGATATTGAAACTAAATCAAAAATTTAAATGAAATTATTGTGGCCCACAACATTTACATAGCTGAAATTGTTGTATACAGCAAAAAATTTTATTTTTAATGTAAAAAACCTTTCAAGTTTGAATGTTTAATCTTGTTAACTAACTTAAATACACTGAATTAATAACTTGAAACATAATAGTAATGTTATTAATGAAACTGTTTAAAAAAATTTGTACACATCTCCATCAATAGGCTGTGATAATAAAAAAAGAGAAAAACAAAAGAGAAAAACAAAACTATAAATAAAAAATATGAATACCACCTATTTGGCCAGTTTTGGGTATAAATACTTCTTTCATCTATTCAATAAACGTATTGAGTTCTGTCCAACCTGATAATGAATTGAGTGTTTGGTGCCATTTGGACCAACTCTTGCTCAGTCAGAACGAAAATTCATTTTGGCTTTGTATATCACAAATGGTGGTGCAAAAATACCCATCAATTACTCACAGTATAGTAAAGTTTTTTGTTGATGCTAGAAAATGGACATCTTCTCAACACATTCTAAGGTTGTTTTGCTTGATCAGCCCAAAAGCAGTTTCATCACAATTCCAAATATGCAACCCATAATATATACCAGTCTGTTGATATTGCTTGGCGACACATTCAAAACAATGATCAATTATTTCTGGCACACAAGAATGCTAAGTTGTCAGCTTTTCTTGTTGAAATTTATTTTGACCCTTTCTTTATAAAGGCATAAAAACTAGTCTTTGCCAGGTTTTCCATTTTTGTACAATTGCAACTGATATTTGCAAGGTAGCCAGTTACAATTCGAGGAGTTCATTTTTGGTAAAACCATAACCCCAGTCACTAGTGATTAGAAGTGATTAGAACGCAAGCACTATCATGTTGTGCCTAAGCCATGGAAACCATTGTTGTTGTTATTTTTACGATCTTTGAATGTAGAGACTGGAAGGCCATATTTGATTTTCAGCTTTTCTCAGTGACGTATTGTTTTCTTTCATATCAGTTAATGCGGCTAGTATATCAACTTCTTTGTACACCTTTAATTTTTTAGTTGACATTTTGAGTTTAGTTGAACTGAGTGAGTGATGATAATTATGAGAAATAAAATGATTTTTAATGAGTAATTGTATTGATAAACAACATAAAAATTTATTTTTAATTAAATCAAAATTAACACTATATTAATTAAATAAATATAGGCGCTTAGTCACTTACAAAAAAGTAAACTAAGTTAGTTTAGTACACGGTTTTATCAGAAAACAGTGTTTTTTTACTTTTTTTTGATTTTTTATCTAACTAGTTTGTTCTAGGTGCACAAAAATTATATTATCAAAGTGGAAATTATATTTGCTTCCAATTGCTAAAATTATTATCCAATTACTTCCAAGTGCTAAAATTATTTTTTTATCTAGTGCTATTTTGTTAATAACATAAAAATACTTTTGATCCCCTGTTAAAGTTGTATAAAAAAAAAAAGAAAAAATAGAGTTGAATCTGCATATAATTTTATCAATTCAAATAGAGAATTCTAATCTGTTTATATTTTTTTCATAGTCATATTTGTTCAGTTTTTATTTGATAACTTCGATCAGTGTGCAGAAAAATATAGTGTTCAGTTGGACCTGTTTTACTCTGTTCTACTTCTAAAAATTAAGTTAAAAATACAGAAGAAAGAATTGTATATTAATTATTTCTATGCTGTATAGCATTACCTATTTATATTTTTAACAATTTTGCTGCAGTAAGCCACCTATGCATTAGACACTGTAACTATAGTAGACCACGGTATAGCATTAACCAATTAAATAATGATAGATTATATATACTCATGCATTCAGAAAAACGACTAAAAACATATATAATATAACTTTATTGAGAGAACAAAATAACCTTTTTGTATAAAAAAAGTTGAAATCCTTATTTTTAATTCTATAGCTTATTTAAAAACTTTTAAAAATAATGTAAGTAAAACAAATTGTATAAAATAAAAAAAACTTTAAGAAAACACAAATTATGTGTATAATCAATTATGTGTATAATAAAATTAGAATAGTAAAAAACTTATGCTGATTAATAACATTTAATTTTATGTTATGGTTTTGGGTTTAAGTAAGTTTTATCCCACAGGAATACTAAAACACTATGGCAAACTTACAAATCATTTTTATACAACAAACATAAAGCATATAAAGTTGTTACCAAGTTGTGTTAAAAGATAAATAGTCTTTGACGAAATCTTCCTTTCTGGATCACCCAGTTTATTGATTAACATAGTAAGTAATTTCTGAAAAAAAAATTTATGACTAATTTTTTTGTCAAAAGTGCTACAGGTCAGAAGTTGACAGCTGATTATTAAAAAATAAAAACTTTTTTTTTTAAATACAAACACACTTTTTTATTTACAAAGTTATGTATTATAATATTAGTAATAAACTGTATTTTAATATAACAAAACTATAAAACTTTTTCAATTTACAAAGTCTAAATAAATTTTTCTTTTAATTAACTTTCACTTTATATATTAGTTTTATATACCCACATGTAATTAGTTTAGTATATTAAAGACATATTGTATATACAGGGATAGAAAGTCATAAACTTTATAATAAGTTTGTAATATTTAATATATCCATTAAAAAAGATGTTTCTACTTTTTCACAAATTTTATCAATAGACAGTTTTTCGCAAGCAGCTTGCTACATGCAGTTGTGTTTTTGTAGTACTATTCTAATTGTTTGAGCACTAGCAACAACACCAAAAGCTTTTTGCCTTTTTTGACTGAGATCAGTAGATAACTTCTTTTTTTTTTCACTATGCGAATAAGTGAATGTTCATTTCTTTTATTTGAAATGCTGAGTCTTCTAGGACATAGAGGCCTTCGAATTGTTTTGTATCTTTAATATCGGCTGATTATTTTGCTAAAAGTGGCATGTGTTGTGTTAAAATGAACATTTTAAATTAGAACATTTTGTTCATTCATCATTACTCTGATTTTACATTTTGTTATTTTGTCAACAATTTTACATTTTGTTATTTTGTCAACAATTTTACAATTTGTTATTTTGTCAACAATTTTACATTTTGTTATTTTGTCAACAATTTTACAATTTGTTATTTTGTCAACAATTTTACATTTTGTTATTTTGTCAACAATTTTACAATTTGATGGTTTTGTTGCTGAAAGTTAGTAGTTAGATACTAATTTTTTTATTTCATTTTACGCAAATTTTTCAAATATTTGTAACAATTTAAATAATAATTCTCAAACAATTATAAATAGTTTGCAAATAAATTTTAATTAAAGACAAGTGAAATTTTGAAGGAGATTTGAAGAAATACAGTGGATTGTTAATTTTGGCCATAATTATTATTTTAGATTATGAGATATATGTCAAAAAAGCAATGTAACTAGCACATCGAATAATATTTCTATGAATATCTATATTTATTTGAAAGAAAATAGAATTCTTATCAATATACATTTTTTATATTTATAAAGAGTCAAATAAGTTTAATATCAATCAAAGTCCAATGATATCAAAAAAAGCATGCTGGATTGTTATTAATGGCCAATACTGTGTATATATATATATATATATATATATATATATATATATATATATATATATATATATATATATATATATATATATATATATATATATATATATATATATATATATATATATATATATATATATATATACATACATTGCTTGTGAGATTGCTTCATTTCATTTAACAATATTGTGCATTGTATCTGCATTCTTTGTTAAATTGAAAATATTTGATGTTCTTTATACTGTTTTACATTTTTGATGAACATCCAAGTTCATTTCACAATCAGTTTGTATTTATTATTTTATCATAATAATTTGTAACTTATATATATGGTTATATTATATTAACTTATATATATGGTTATGTATAAAAACTTATACAAAGATATGGATTTTATCACATATTCTATATATATCACATATATTCTAAAGTTTATATATCACATACATTCTATATATATCACATATATTCTAAAGTAATTGTAATTATTTATATAATTTTTTAACATTTTTTTACAAATGGCATCTTGCATTGATTTCTTTGCTCTTTTAAAAATTGTTGAATAAATTGTTTTATAGCTTAGAAATAAAATAAGATTTAATGTTGTGTTTTTGTTTATAATACTATATGTAATTCTTTTTAGGATTGCAGTTTTTTGTTAATTTTATTTAACTATTATCATTTTTTACTTATCTTTTTACAGATATCTTCTTAAAAATATGTTTTTACAGCTTTAGAAAATTTATTTTATATACTTTTATTCAATTTAATTTTGTCTCTAATTGTTTAATTTAGTTTTCTTTTTTCTAATTTTTTAAAGTGATTTATGAAAGTTACTTTTTTTGTTTTTTCACTTAAAGTAGTAGTCTTGAAGAATTTTATAGAAAATTTTTGCAATTATTAAGATTTTTTATGTTTACTTGTTACTACAGTCATAAAAGTAATACTAATATTAATATGTTCAATGATAATATTGAAGTTAAAATGGAAGGTATTCCCAAAAATGTACATTTATGGCTTATAGAAGTTATTAAAATTAGTGAAAATGCTAATAGGCGACTTAAAAAGAATTGTTGTTGGAATAAAAGAAATAGAACTAGGCAAGATGAAATCATGGTCAAGATTTGTCTTCAGGGAGTCATAATAGGATATCATAATTCCAATATGAATTTTTTTAAATATATTAAAAATTTTTATGCCTGTGTTTCTTTTGTTTCATTTACAGCTAACTGCCCAGCTAAGCAAAAAAGCAGTATCTCCATCTAAGCTAATGTTGGGGAAATTGAGACTAAACAGGTTTAAAAATATCAGACGTTTTTTATTTTCTTAATTTCAAATGCTCATTTTCAATGTTATATATTCGATATAATCCTTTTTCACTGCAACAAATGGTTCAAAACAACATTGTTAACCCGTAGGAAGCAATATCTCAACTTTGACCAAAATTGATACTGTTTTTTTTTTCCGCCTAGCACGGTAGTAATGTGGTTCAACCTATAGAGCTTAGGCTGCCTAGTTTTACAATTATAGACTTTGAGTAAGGTAAAACTTTTTTTCAATATTTTATGGCAAGAAACAATTTCAGCAGAATGCTGTTGATGCATATGTTAAAATTAACGGGCAGTGTTTGCCTTCATAAAAAAACAAACAAAAAAACTGTGAAGTGAGCAATATAGTAAACATGAAAACAACCTTGGGAACAATCATAATTGTAGATTTATCATTGCTAAACACCATCACAAAGTTTATCATTATATAAAAAAAAATCATAAGCATCGTTGCTAAACAGCATCACAAAGTTCATCATTATGAAACAAAAATTCATATAAATTTATCATTCTTGAGACAGTTTTGTAAAAATTATCATTGCAAGACAGCATTATTGTAAAACAGTTTCATTAAAACTCATTATCAAAAATTATCATAGTATAACATTGTTGCCAAACAGTATCCTAAAATTTTACCATTGTAAAACATCACAGACATCATATTACTACAGTATTCATTTAACATGTAGGAAACTCATGGTGGTTGAAAGCGTTTCACATCTCTATCCGGGAATAAAAATACCTGCCGATACCATAAATCAACAGGTTTAGTTTGTCGTGTCGCTCTTACAAATTGAGCATTTACATTCACATGTGGAGTGCTTATTTTTTCTCGGGGATATTGTTGTTGACTGGTCCTGGGATATTGGTTTTCCTATTATTATGTTATCTGTGGTTTTATTTTGCAAAGGCTTCAAACATGGTGAGGCGTAGTTCATATTTGGCTTGTTTAGCATCAGGTATATTGTCATTAGCAGAAATGCAACCAACAGAATTGATCCACTTTTTCCACCAAAAAATTTTTGGAAGATGGAACCTGCTCCTTCTCCTACATCTTTTACAGCACTTCCGCCGGCTTTTAAAACTGAAGACAAAGCAACTCCAATAGAATGAACTAATTTCTCATCTAAATCAGAAACTCCATTAAGCGAATCTTTGATGGCACCACCAATGGCTTTAATAACCTGGCTTCCGCCACTTGGGGTGACTTGTAAAGCACTACCTAAAGCCGTACCAATACCAGTTAAGACATCACCATCGTTGGTGTCGCTGATAGTTTTCAATGACTGCAGTGTTTCATGTGACCCTGAAACTAATTGTAAGACTGTGTACAGTGATAATCGTTGAGGTTTCTCGACAAGAAAATCTTTGTTGTATCCTCAAATACGGGGAATTGGGTTGATTGGCAAGGAAAGCACGTGGTCCGTCTTGGTCTCCACAATTTTAACATGTACGTATGTCGATATTTTGTGCATGATATTTAATTTAGGGACCTGTAAGTACATGTGCTTTGGTCTAAGTTTACAAGCAATGCGAGGACTTGTCCTTATCAATAAATATTCAACAATAAATAAGCCAGTAATGAAAGTTGGTAAAAGAGTCAGGCACCATAATTCCCACAATTTGTTTACTCTGAGGGTTACTTTTGGCATGACTCTACAATTAGTTTAATTTTTCTCCTTACACATGTGCAGACTTGTCGTGGTTATAGCTGAGATATGTACACTTTTGCTAGTCTTTTTACTGTTAATATATTTCTGGATTAATTGAGGATCAAAAATGTTCTCTTCAGGCTCCCAAGTATTTTGGCTGGATGGATAACCTTCCCATTTAACTAATTATTGTATTTTTCCTTCTCTTGTTCTTTTTTAACAATTTTCTCCATTTTATATATATCGGAATCGAGACTCTCCGTTCTGTCAACTTGATGTAGTGGTGGTTCGATTTCAGGGGAGAGATTAACTTTTTCCTGTATTTTATGGTTAGCTTCCTCAAAACAGAACTCGTCAATCGTTTTTGTGGCTTTGGTGAGAACTTCAGAGCTTAGAGCTAGGTCTTTTGTTGGTTTTTCTTATACAACCAAACCATTGTTTAAAATAAGACACATGAATTGGTGTAGGCAGTTCTTTATTATTCATACTTTCAACTTTGAATGTCACGGGTGATGTTTTTTTAATTAAATGAAATGGACCGTGCCAGAAACTTGTAAGTTTTTTTTGTTAAACCTTTCTACGTGATTGGTGTATATACCCACACCTTATGTCCAACCTGAAACGGATATGATTTAGTTGTTTGATCGTAGTACAGTTTCATTTTTGTCTGTGCTTTTTGAATATTTTCCTTTGCAAGGTTACATAATTATCTTAAGTCAGACAGACTCGTTGAATAAGTAAGT